ACATCCTGATGGATTTATTAATTACTTAGCAATATCTTCTTTCTTCTCCCCCACCCTGCCCTAATAATTTGAAACAGTATAAAAGGTCCTGCCATATTTAATTTTAAAATCTGAGTCAGTTCATTAAATAGTTTTCATAGCTAAGTGCTTAAAGATTGTAAGTTAACTCTAGCATTACAGTGGATTGAAATCTATGTCCAATCTAACCAAATTATTGATTGATGGTTATTATTTATATTTACATCCTATAAATTTTAATTTATAAATTTTATTAAATTTATATTACATTATTTATATTTTATTTATATTTAATATAAATATACTCCAATTGTAAAGACTCGACATTTGTACATTTGAAATGCATTATGTGGCATTTTGTTCATGTTGTGAAACTGACCTTAGGTCTGGACCAAACTGGTCCTATGGCTTGCTTTCTAATAAAAATCTATTTCTTTGCCACTAAGCATATGACATGAATATGTATTTTCATAAACCAAGTGTGTTTTAACCAAGTATTTTTAATTAACATGTTACATATTTAGGAATATAACTAAAAGAACTTTAGAAATTCACATTGAAAGTCAATATTAAAAACCCAAAAGGTGGAGTGCAAATATTACAGAGTTTAAATAAAACATTCAAAATTATATTAAACTTTTTTTCTCTCCTTCCCTTTCTTTGGATATGTACATATCCTTTTAAATCACAAGAAACTAGACAAGTGCTTTCAGCTTTAGGAGGCATATACTGCTTAAACTTTTAGGGTGCGATGTATCAAAAAAAATTAAAAAAGAAAGCGAAATATCTTCATGCATTATATAGTAAGAACATGCCCTTTCAGAGATACTTACTGCTCAATATTTATTTTAAAGTGTTGCTTAACCAGCTTTATTTGCGATTTTAAATATTTCCAAAACAATAGCCTTGCTTTATTTTTTTATTAAAATTATGCCATCCATCTTGCCTAGAGATGACTATTAGGCAGGTTAGAACCAATAAAAACAACAAAATAAAAGATTAAAATATTGAAATCGTAAATATTAACACTCACTTTGACTTAAAAATTAATGAAGATGGCAAGCAAGGGAGCAAGGTACATATGGGAAGGAGGTGGAGTCTTATCTCAGTCCATCAACCACCTCCACTATGGTGCATCCCCACTGAGGCCCTGGGCCAATTGGCAGAGCCAGGTCTGTAGGCTATTTCAGAAGGCCAAAAGGGTGGGTGTGTATCTCCCCCCAGGAGGCAGAGGGTGGGAGCCATGGCAGAAAAGGTTCTTTCCTGGACCTTGCCAGCCAAAATTCCTTGACTGACAGGGTCCTCAGCATTCCACTTCTGCCGGCATGGGTGGAGCAGGCCAATCTCATTGAGCTGAGAAGATGCCTGATATAACCTAACTCCATGCCATGAAAGGCTTTAAAGGCAAGAACTAACACCTTAAAGTGGACCCGGAAGCAAACCTACATAGATGTTCTTAACGTACTGCAAAGTTGGTAGAGGTGGGTTTTGACATGTATGTTATATGAAGTAAAAGTGACAAAATAGCACTATATTTCTCTACGACAGTGTTTCCCAAACTTGACAATTTTAAGGTATGTGGACTTCAACTCCCAGAATTCCACAGCCAGCGTTGCTGGCTGTGGAATTCTGGGAGTTGAAGTCCTCATGCCTTAAAATTGTCAAGTTTGGGAAACACTGCTCTACGAATACTATGGAAGCAACAAATGGTTTAATGATCTAGGTTACGGTCACATTCTCTGCTGTTCCTTTTTTCACAGTTATTTCATTTCTGAAAACATAGGATCAGTAACAGTTTCTGTTGAATAAAATTGGTTAGGCCAATACTGGTTGAAGTAGATGGTCCAGATGGTCCAGTCATTAAGCCACGAAGAGCTTTTTAAATCAAAAACAGACCTTAAACTGTACCCCAAAACCAACTGGCAATGCAGGTTCCACTAAAATGGATTATAAACTTTCAACAGAAAGAGCTGGGAAGTATATTAAATACTGTGTTTTGGACCAATGAATTCAGAGCAAAATGTCTATGGAGATACTCAGTCATCCAAGTCATGATTGTCTCAGAGGTGCTTTGTCAAAAGGCAAATAGACTTTCTTTGTTTTTCCTTGAAGAATTTCGCTTCTTATCCAAGAAGCTTCAGCATCAGAACTGAAGAAACTTCTTGGATGAGAAGCGAAACGTCTTCAAGGAAAAATAAAGAGAGTCTAGTTGCCTTTTGAAAAAAAGCACTTTTGGGATATATTCAGAGCAGTTTTTAATAACAGTAAATCCTCAATGAGAACTAGTTCAGTCTAGTGAGTAAGACTCCAGGGTAGAAACTGGAAGACTGTGAGTTCTAGTGCCAATTTAGGCATAAAAGTTGGTTCTGGGCCAGTCACACTCTCATAGCCCAACTTGAATTCTTTAGAAAATTTATAACCCTTTATACAAAAAATAATGACGGCAGGATAAATATGTATTTATTTAAATTGATATGCAGCCCATCTCGATATCCAGAAAAATAAAAAATATATATTAATAAATAAAATCTGCTTGCAACATCCCACTGCACTGCCTAATTAGCTGTCCAGAATATTAGTACCTGTATATCTATGAATCCTGAATTCTGCATTTTGGAGTTGTTCTATTTCCACATTTGAGGTTGTCCCAAGTGTCCATTTCACCACACTAATTGGATGATTTATATTACATTCACTAATAGTCCTGATTATGGATATCATCCAGCAGAAAGTCTGTTACTCAGGGACATCTTTCTTGTCTTTCTCTGATGCAGAAAGATTCCTGTGCCAGATTCCTGTAATAATTCAGAAATCTGAACACAGTGCTTAACTCCTTTAGTATAGAATGAACTGGAATTGGGGGGAGCAGACCATTAACAAGGAATTTTCTTTGTTAGATGTTTTTTTATTTTGATCTGTTCCTGGAACCAGTTTGCTCAGTGCACTATGAAAAAGATTCATACAACAAAAACAATTACTGATTCCTTGACTTGAAGATCAGCAAAGCTTGATTTGTAATTGTTTGATTTAGTCTAGGCCAGTGGTAGCGAAACTATGGCACGGGTGCCAAAGCGGCACTTGGAGCCCTCTCTGTGGGCACACATGCCGTTGCCTCAGCCTTGCCTCCTCCTGCGACCCCCTCTCCAGCAGCCCCCCTGAAGGAGAGTCACCCCCCCAAGTGTGGCCCACACAGAGCAGTGCAGCCAAGGACATGGCAACCAGGCAGTGTAGACAAGACTCTGCCCTCACACCCCATCATGCAGTTGATGCTGCAGGGCGCAGGCAGAGGGTGTGGCCGCCATAGCACTGCTGGGCTGCCTGGGCAATCTGCAGCGGGCCCTGGAGGGGGATAGGGGGCAGAGCAGGGGCAGGGCAGGGGGGTGGAGTGGGGGCGGGGCCAGTTTTTGGGCACTTGGTCTCTAAAAGGTTTGCCATCACTGGTCTAGGCTGCCTATATGACTGTATGTTTTTAATGGTTTTTAGTGTTGTGGATTTGTAGAGGATATAGGAATGGGTGGCTATAACAAATTTAAATAATCATCATATGGTCAATAGAACTAGGGTTTATTGGATTAGCACAATTGTCTGGATTTGCACAACCAAACCATACATTTATTGGTTTTTAACATGAAGTTAGCAGAACACAGTAAAATTATAATCTAATGTATTATATGATTTCTGGTTGGTCAGGGTTGTTAGTAAACATAGAAATCTTCTGTGCTCACTCCACAGTGGTAGGACACTGACCAGTGTTTCACAAACCTGGTAATTTGAACTCCCAGAATTTTCAATCAAGTATGATCATTGCTGAAAATTGTAGAAGTCCACACATCTGCAAGTTATTAGAGTTAAGGAATATTGATATAGACACCCTAATACTAATCTGATTGCTTTTTTATACTGTATTAGCAATGCTTGGCTAACATTATGAGCTGACTGGCCTTTAAATACTATACTTACTTCACATGTGGTGCTAAGCCATGTTGTTGAATAAAGGTTGGATTCACACACCACACTAAATTAGCCTTCATCAGTCTGGCACCCTCTGGGAGTGTTTATGGATGTACATACTGAGAATTTTATGCCACTTCATTTCAAAGAAATGGTTAACAATTCTGCCCTGGATGTTGTAAAGTTAAGGAGATAGTAAAAGTTTTATTTTAGAAGCACTTGCTCCATTTTCTTTTTACACCATTCCCAAATCCTCAACGGGGCCCAAAAGGTTTGATTGGAAACAGCCAAACAACGTGTTACCAACAACCACCAGACTTGTGGGTCCTCCAACCTCTTTTCCTGAGGCTAAATTCACCCGGACCGATGGACGCCTTTGGGATAATAACGGGGAGAAATCATTTGCTCTACAGACGCTGACTCACGACTTTGGAACTTAAACGTCGCCCGCGAGAATTTGGAATCCCTACCCACTTTTCGTGGCTTCTGCTTGGGACGTGGTGGGGGGGGGGGGAGAGAGAAAGTCCGCGGGTTGAAGGGAAGTTTTCCCCGGGTAGATTCTCACTCTACCTGTGGCGTAAACATGGGGGGGGGGAGGTGCCACGTGTAAAAGTTGCTGGTACTTCTGGAGAAGATTTCCCCCTCAGTTTTAATCTCCCGCTGTTCCCAAGACCGCAGACTTTTCCCGGCCGGCGCCTTCAGGTCACTCTCCAGAGAAGACCAAGTACGTTTCACTCTCTCCCCACGCCCGCGACCCCCGCCTCGTTGACATCCGCAGAGTCAGGATCCAAATTGAGAGCAGCTGTGGCTGCCCCGAGCGCTCGGACGCCGCCTCCGGAGTAACTTGGCGCTGTGTTTAAAAAAAAAAAGGGTGGGTGGGTGGGTCGGTGAGCCCCCCCCCCCGGAAGCTTGTCGGAGCCGGCCCCAAAGCCCACCCCACGACTCCGAAGCGGCCGTGGGGCGAAGGGGGGGGGGAAAGAAAGGGAGAGGGCAGCTAAAGCGCAGCGTCAGCAATAGTAAGTAATGAGAAGCCATCCCGATTTGGCGTTTAGTGGCTGTAAACGGCGGAGGGAGTGTCTCCCCGTCCCTGTCGCCTGGGCTCGGTCTCATCCAGTCTTAGGGAAGCGAAGCAGCCGGAGGCCACCAACTTTTTTCTGCTTCAATAGTTCACCCCCACCCATCCATTCCGTCCGTTCTTCCCTCCCAAAGTTAGTAATGAGGGCTGCCTGGGACAAGCTGAAGATGGGATTTTCCTCCACCGGGCATGCCCAGCTGCTGTTCTTGCTGAGTTGTTGCCCGACGGCTTGCCGCCCTTACAATCTAGATACTCAGAGCCCCCTGGTCTTCAAAGGGCTCAATGGGACGTTGTTCGGCTATTCGGTGCTGCTGCACAGCTTTGGCACCAGCCGGTGGTGAGTAAAGGGGGGCTTTTCTCTCGAGGCTGCTGGCTTTGTCCCGTGGGACGGAGGCTTTTGTCTCCCCCCACCTCCCGTCTCTCTCCCTCCCTTGACATTCAGGCCCCACTCCAAGTGCAACTCTTAGTATGCCTTGCCTTGGACGGTTACGGTTTTTATTCATCGGCGGTTTCAGAGCAGGAGGTGAGACCTTCTGTTCTGAGTCAGGCTAGCCAAAAGGTACGCGCTGCCTCCTGATCCGGGAAAGTTTTGTTTCCAGCAGTTGGTGGAGAGGCATCGCAGCTTTCCAGACCTTGGTGCCTTCAGATGACTTAGAATGGCAATTCCTAGTGATTTGGACACTTTTGGAATAATGCAGTGGCAATATTGTCTTTTATTGTTGAAGAAAGCTGTCCCTGTGGAGGTCTTTGTTGTTCAAAAACTTCACTTTTGTCCTTTTAGTCTTTAATCTTTTATCATAAAATGCACACACATATGAAAAAATCTGGAAACTGAATTAACTTTTTAAAATAAATTTACATGTACGGTTTGATTTTTAGATAGTTTTGTTAAAATATGTATTTTTATAAAGGGTTTACTGGGTTTTGTTCTTGAATTTTCTTTTGCAAAGTGAAGTTATAACCATAAAATTATTTATCCTTATGAACCTTTTTCTGATTTGCCCCTTTTCCAGATTTGTCCATTATTTGTTCCAAGAAAATATGGTCACCATAGGTTACCAGCCAGAGAAGGGTTACTTCCATCAAATTTGGGTTATGGCTTGTGTGCTTCCTCATGTGCTGTCCCTTCCATACTTACCACAAACTAGCTATTAATGCAGAGAGAGAGAGAGAGTCTTCCAATTTTATAAGTGGAAGCATTCATGTCTGTTTCTTTCTTGGTATCTCTGCAAGTCCCAGGCACTGAATGAATGCTTGGTTACTCAAGTCTGGACTGCTTGTCTCTCTCTCTCTGTCTCTCTCTCTCTCTCTGTGTGTGTATTTTAAATCTTTTTCTTTCTTCCTTCAGGCTTATAGCTGGAGCCCCTAAAGCCAACTGGCCCAGTAATAGCTCGGTGGTGAATCCAGGGGCAATATTCAGATGCCAAATTGGAAATAATCCTAAAAGAGATTGTGAGATTCTCCAAGTGGGTGAGTGGAACTGGAAATTTGATCTCACCTTGTTGGTTGTCCAATCATCTAAGCAACAATCAGGCCTGGAGAAGAAGAGCAAAGAAAGACTTCTCCCTGGCTCAGATTTAATAAGTTTTATTAGGAAAAATGTTGCTAATGCAAGCATTCAAGCACATAACTTTGCTTCCGGAAAACAGAACCTATGTATAAGCAATTCAGTGTTAGATTATGTCTATCTTCCTCCTGTGCTTTCACTGTAAGGATAAACACTCTTCTCTGTCCTTGGGGATTTTGATTACTAGCCATATTAATTTGAGAATCCTCTCTTGCACTGGTCAGCTCCTGATGACCTGAAAATGGAAGTTCTTTGAAATGCTTCAGTCATGATCTGTTGATCAAATATATTAGGTAAACACTTTACAAGAATGTTCTGCATCACCTTATTTCATTATTTATAACATTTATATAGCAAATCTACATTTTTTTAGTAATTTTCTAGTGCCACACTGTCATGGCTTTCATAAAATGAAATGATAAAAGATTAAGGTCAGCATTTAAAAGTTGATTATTCTGGAAGAAAAATATTTATTAGCTTTATTGATAGTGCTTCCTTTGGTAAATATGTAAACATCTGCTCTCTGATGCTTTAACTTGGGTTTTTTCTCTTCTTTATTTCATTAATGTATCTATTAATATTTATTGAAATATAATATATACTTAAATATAGTTTCCTCAGCAAGACATCCAAAGCAACATGTTTTGTTAGTTACAAACTAAATTTGGAAAACTTGCATTCCAAATTGCATATTTTGTCAAAAGTGCAGTTCAGTTTCCTTTTACCAAGTGCTTATTTTTTAAAATGCACTGAAATCAGCAAGCAATAAAATTTTTGGACCTGAATGGACTATTTGGGTATAATAATATTCACAAACAAAAGAAAAGCTTCACAAATTGATATAAATGGCAAATCATTTCTGCATAACTAGGTCTGTAATGGCCTGCACCTCTCTGAAGTGTATTCATACACTTTAAAAGTGTAGTTAAAGCACACAAGATATTGACTACCAAAATAATTAAAATTCAAGGCAATTGACTGATTAAAATCACTTAGCTGTTGACACTGAATTAGTTCTTGAACTTAAAATTGTTCTCTCATATAGTTTCAGTTTCTTCTTACAAAGTTTGGAACATTTATTCAGAAGCTTATGAACTCTTTAAAATTTATAGAAATTAGACTTTATGAATTTCAGAGACAAAGTTTTAGTTTTAGCCAGTAAACAAAAGAAGGAGAATGACCTCTAGAATTTTATAATTATGATAAGTGGAGATTGATTTTCATATCAGTTACTGAAATGCATTTTACTCAATGAGTAGATGCTGGAAGTGGAAGACCTCATGATAAATTGGCAAAGGAGTGCTCTTAGCACTGAGCATCTGTCTGCCATAATGTGTAGCTTTATGTAAAACATAGCCATTCAAGGAAAAGGGTCATATTGAGTGTTACATATCCCCGTAGGCTTTTTGGGGAACACAGTAAAATCTCTGTGTTGATGCATTGAAGACTAGGTGAAAGATCAGTTGTTTTCTTTAAATCTTAAGGATTCCTGTAGATTGGATCACATATCTGTGCTCATTACTTTATAGCTGCAAATTCAAATGGAAGTATTTACAGTATCCATGAAGGAATTGGACCAAAGAAAGTTATTACATTATTTCACTTGGGAAATTATCTTCATATCACTCAGTAATGTGCCTCACAAATGACAAAGAACCATGATTTACTTGCTGAATAAGTTAGTTTTATTATTTGCAAATTTTTGTGTTGCCTTCTCATGAATCAAGTTGATTCATGTCATGCTAAATCAAATCAAAACAAAACAATGGCTTAGTATATTGTGTGAACTTTAGCAGTTCATACAGGAGGTTAATTCACACATGCAATGTAGCTTGATTGAATTTGGTTTAATGTGTTATAGGTCACCAACTCTTGTAAATGTAAGTGTATTTTATAGTATAATATACACTATACTGTATAATATAGTGTAATATAACAACATAAGTCATTTATTGACTATAGGAAAGGAGAGATGTATTATTGTTTGTTTAGTTGTAGCTTCTTTTCCATAGCAAAGTATGTTCAAACAGTCTGTGTAAGGTTTATACAGTATAATAAAACAAAGAGTTTCATGAAGAATTGTCATTTAACTTTGGAAAGTAACAATTTCTTTTAAGCCACCAAGATATTGATTAAATAGACCTTCATTGGTTTTCTTAATTTGAAAACAATTACCTCTAATTGGCAGCCAGTAAATTCATTTAAACATTGAAGTCTTGAATCCAGGTGCAGCATAACTAAACCTGAAGCTAAACTTCCAAGTCTGTAAGCCTAGAACTAAAATACAACTTTGAATAAATTGATTTTCACAGCGAGGAAAGATGTGCACTTTGCACTTTCAGCAAAGATGCCCTTTCAAATTGGTATGTCATCAGACAGGTCACGGCATTTGAAAAATACTTTCAGAATGAATACCACAACCTGTAAGATTTATCATTTATTACTCTCTATTTTTATAGATTTTATCTTGTGGTTTCTGGCAGTGAATTAAATAAATTGCTTAGAATTTGTGCTCAAGAATGGAATTGGGATTGTCTGTTAAATACAAAAGCAAATACTCAGAAATTGAGGATAGAATCATTTCCAAAGCAGTTGCACAAAAAAGCTATTGTGATGCTCAACTCAGCATAGACAAGTATGAGTCTGAAAATGACTTCCTCCACCAAAGTATGCACTGTATAGATTTGTAGCCATACAGAAACAATCAAATTAGCTGCAAGGGAGATTTGTTGCCTTTAATTGTGATGGATTTGTCCTAAACTTTATTAGGGTCACAATTAAAAACTAAGAAACATGAAGAAATTGAATTAGTTTAAAGGCAGATTAGAACTTGTACAATGTTACTCTGGTTTTTTTTGGGGGGGGGGGCAGTTGGAACTAGTATACAAACCCTGCTTCCTGTTGCTTTACAGACAAGATTCTCTCCTCTGTTGAAATTCACCCTTTCTCATGTTCATAATCATTTATGGAACGTGGCAAACAATTTTAATGTTCTGACTTCTATTGTCTTATATTTTAGTGTTTTAATCCTGTAATTGTTTTATTCTGTTATTTATGGTATTTTAAGCCACTCAGAGATCCTTGGGTCGAGAGGTGGGTACCATATAAATTTAATAAATAAAATAAAACCTGGAACAAGAAGAGATTTAAATTGGACCACTGGTTTGTCTGGCTCAATACTTTCAGTAATAACTGGTGAAATCTCTCCCAAGTATCAGACAGAGCAATATTAACCATACTAGAGATTACCGTGATTAGATCAGGACCTGCTACATATACAGCATATGCCTTTCCACTGAATTGCAGTCCCACGTGCTAGATGATGAGCTAGAATGGGGAAGAGGGCCATGATCTTATCTGAAAGGTGATTGTTTTTCTGTGGCTGAATATCCTAAGCAGAAGAAGGATAGTTGTACTGAAATATGCTCACAGGATGCTTTTCACTGCAATGTGATTTTGAGGAGATACCATAAGGTTCAGTCTTAGGCCTTGTACGTATCCTTATTTCTGTTAGAAACGTGAAGAGCTGTAAAAATACCAAATTTGCAGTGATGGTGGGATATTTATTATTCCAAAAGGCAGAAATCAGATTTTTAAAAGAGAGCCAGATGGTGTTATGGTTAAGGTGTTGGCCTAGAAACCTGGAGATTGTGAGTTCTAATTCTATGCTAGGATGAAACTGGCTGGGTAACTTTAGGCCAGTCACTCTCTCTTAGTCCAATTCATCTCACAGAGTGGTTGTTATAAAAAAAATAGGAGGAAGAAAGAGTATTGGTATGTTCATGCCCTCAGTTGTAAATGGAAAAAAAATAGGCTGGAGTAAAATCTAAAAAAATCCAATGTTGATAGGAATATTCTTTATTGGTGAAGTATGATTGGACATACAAGGACTTTGTCTTTGGTGCATAAGCTCTCAGTGTATATACAAGCAACAAAGTGGTAAGTCATAGATCATAAATCATAAGATGCAATCATAAATCATAAGATACAAACAACAAGTGATAAATCATAAGATGCCAATAGGAGAAGGTAGTAGGAATCGGGTTTATATAGGTTTAAATTAGGTTTTAGCAATCAACAGAATTAAATTTTGCAGAAAAGCAAAATTCTTAACCTAGAAAACAGAACTATATTGATGATGTCTAGCTGGTTCAGTAATAATACTGTCAAGAAGATCTTATAGTCATTGGGCACTGAGTATGCATCAACAGTGTAATGTGGATACAAAAAAAAAAGGGCAATTTTAGGCAGTACCACCAAAGTTTAATTGCCACATCATAGAAAGTTATGGGTCTGCCACATTCTGCATTGTTTAGATTTCCCTCAAGTATTATATCCTGTTCTGAGTACAACACTTTAAGAAAGGTTCAAAGAAACTGGAACTGATTTAGACAAGAGTAAGAAGGATAATGAAGGAATTGAATATTTAATCTCAGGAGAGGCTAAAGGAATTGGGATAGTTTAGCCATGAGAAGACTAAGTAGATATATGATGGGATTCTCCAGCTTCTTGGAAGTGGTCTTGAAGTTCTCAAACATTTATCCTCTAAGAGTTAATCCATATGAGACTGATTTTGGATTTCAGAAGCATTTTTGTTCATTTTCATTTACAACATTATATACTTGCTCATAAATTTGGGTCTGTTTTTACATGCATTCCGTTTTTGACTCTTCAGTGCAAGTTGTAAAAAGGAAGAACCTTTGACATAATTATACATAGTTTTGCTCTAAAGTAATTAGCTCTCAACTACAAATCATATGTATCAGTCCAACTGGAAATATACTGGAGTAAAAAAGAATACTAATTGCTTTTAGAATGGTTTGTATTTCAAAATAAACATTTTATCTACTTTAGGAAATACAATCCCAGGATTTTACAAAGAATGGGAGTTTTGTTTTAATATTAAGTGCTTCTCTTGCATTACACCATACATATTTCCAGAATATTTTGAAAATGAGCTCTGCTTCCTTTAAAGGCATCTTTATTTTATTTTTAATTTTTTGTATTCTTTGCAGCATACTATACTATACTCTTTACATTTGGTATATAGAAGAGATAATTAACAGCTAAATAGTTCAAACAGGGAAGTAAGCTAAAAATCCAGCAAAATCATACTTCTGATCCTAAATACAGCCATTGATGGAATAGGGCTAACCAGGTTGGGTCAGATGGCTTAAAGTAATATGCAGGCTAACCAGTATTTGGGGACACACCTACTTCGGTTATGTGCACTTATGAGTTGACAGAATGACAGTTTTGTTCTCCATTCCTTACAGCATTCCCAGTTCTAATCAGCACTGAGAATGAAACTTTTGTTTTTTTAAAAAAACCTTTATTAAATTTTAAGAAAAGATAAAATATAGAGAAACAGAAAAATAGGAGTTAGAAAAAGCAGTCAGAAAAAGAGCAAAATTGGGACTGCAGAAAAAAGTGTGTGGAGGAAATAAAATAATTTCCAACTTCATTTGATACAGATACAGATATAAAATACATTAATCTCTTACTCTGAAATCAATAATGCACAGTATTTCTATAATCATAAACAGTTCTAATCTTCAAATCCTGGAATGAAACTTATTTTACGATGTTGCTGGAATTACAGAATGTGGCTGAAAAACATTATTATAATAATAATAACTGAGATAGTGTTATGTATTTTCCTTAAGTTTTTATAAGAACATCTGTGACCTTCCAGTGAAATTATGAGTTGACATCCAGAAATTACTTTCAAGCTTTTTAATGAAGAATTATCTAGAGAAATCAATGATTAATCAATGCTTAATTAATCAGATACTACAGTACATATGTACTTCTCCAAATTTGGCAAGTTGCAGTTCTAAAACTTGGAGCAAGAGTGGAGAGAGAGGATGAGAAAGATTGGTAAAGCCATTGTTGGATGTGACTAGACCAGACATGTCGGGACTGTTTTGCCATTGCCAGCAATGGGGTGGGTGTGGCTTCTGGATGATACGTCCGGCCCGTGGGCTGGCAGTTTGACACCCCTGGACTAGACTTATAGCCAGTTTTAAACATATGTACCTGTACAATGTACACTCATCAAAGTCATATAAGATTGAAAAGTAGAATTCTTATTTCTCAGCATGAAAATATTAGATGCTATAAGGTATGCACTCAAAAACAAAAGCTATCAAAGAAGAGCATTTTAGCATTAGATACAGTAATGAAGATCTGCAGTAATTGATAACTACATAGCCTTAGATCACACTAAGGAAATTGGTGGCCTCCCATGTGGTTTATATGTGGCAACTGGAAATGTGGGTTATCTGAAAATACAAATTCTTATTTACAGCTGGGTGTAACAGACACCTTAGAAGTCTTCTTTGTTAATCTGGTTATGAGGATTTATGTGATTTTTGCTTAGATTGTATGTTTTTTCCTCCCTACGATGGATTTGCTATGAAACTAAGAATTCTGAGGACAATGTTCTGTTCTATTCTATTCTAGTTATAGCTATTGACTACCTTAGTGGGTAAATTGTGCTTACTGATTCAAACCTTTACTAATGCATAATCCTAATGCACATACTACTGCATAATAAACTGAGGTGCAAACAGTCTAGGGAAGTGTAAAGAACTTTATAATTGCATTGTTACAACAAATTCATATTTTCCAAAGATTCATTGTATTGTTTTCATTGTTCATTGTTCAATTGTTTATTTTGGTGTTTGGATTTTCAGGAGAGATTTGTACATAAAGATTATATTTAGGAGTAAGATTAACTAAGATTACAAGGACATATGATGGCAAAAAGTTTAGAGCCCCTGCACTATGCATTGTCGTTTTATTTTATGGCATCTCCATTATGGTGTAATGTTGAGTTATGGAAACTTAACAGGTTTAATTATAACTTTATTTTCACATAGACAATGTAGAGGTAGTTTGTTCAGTGACTGATCGAAGTTATGACAGCACTGAAAAAATAGACTTAAAACCTAGCACTTGTAAGCCCTGCAGCATCCCCATGGTCACACAATCTACATTTGGGCTCTAAGCAACCAGCCAGCATTTATAACCGTTGCTGCATCCTGCTTCAGCTATCTCCTCACTCTCTCTGCCTTTTGGCTGCTCTGCACTGTATGGCCAAAATGAAGAGGTCCCTGTGTTCTGCCACCATAGCCTCCTTGCAGTAGCTGGGAGGGGGGGCACAGGCAAGCCCAGTGCCCAGAGATTCCACAAGCTGGGGCTTGAGGCAAGCTGGTAACAGCCAGCCGAATGGAGGTGAGGTGAAAACAATGAAAGTTAACTGGGGTGTGGAGAACAGTGGGAAGGCAGTGGTGGAATACAGTGTAGGAAGAATTGAAATGGAGACAGTTCACACAGGGCAGAAGAAGCATGAGGTCCTGCCCTAATGATTACAACTGGAATGGCTGGGACTGTTCACATGATATTTCTCTTAACAACTGCTTTACTTGGAAATTCCAACCCCAGTTAGAACCATACTTCGAAGACTATCTGCATGTTAAGGATAGCTCTGCAGTGATGCTGTGCTTTGAGTACTTTCAAAGGTTCCTATACAAACCTTAATTTCATTTTATTTTTGTTAAAGGTGATCCAAAAGGGGAACGGTGTGGAAAAACCTGTGCCGAAGAAAGAGACAATCAGTGGTTGGGGGTGAGCCTAGCAAGGCAGCCAGGAGAAAATGGATCTGTTGTTGTAAGTATTATCTGACATTTCCCTGTGTAAGTTAAGTATTTGGGAAAGGTCTCTAGTTTGATAACAAATTAAACAGTAGCTCTACAGGCAAAAATATTTCTGAAATATTTCTCTTTGAGATCCTATAGTAGGATTTGATTGATGGGTTATTGGCCTGACTTTGTGGCTCTGAAAGTAGTTTTATACTTTGTCAAGCTATTTTTTAAATCATCCCACTTGTTTTCCTGTCTCATTTTTATCTAGGTCTGTGGACATAGATGGAAAAATATATACTATATTTCAGAGCACAAACTTCCACATGGCATTTGTTACGAGATACCTCCCAATTTTCGAACATTGTTAAGTCAAAGAATATGTCCTTGCTACAAGGGTAAGTAGAAAGTCTTGCTAATGAATAATATAAAATAGAATTGTAAACATTTTGGAGGAGAGCCGACCGGAAAGACTTCGTGTTCAGCCTCATATACAGTATTTTGAGGCAGCTTTGAATGCAGGGTATGCTTATGTTTAACAAAATGGTTTGGAAATCCTACAAAGGCATTTTATAGTATATCTCTCTGTATGGCTGCAAATATGTGTTAAAATTATTTATATAAAAGGAAATATTAGACTGGGTTTGAAAGACAGTTAGCATGATTGGTGTCTTTTTCAGTGTTTCCTGCCGGATATATCCATAGGAAGACATGGATAGGAATGAAGCAAAAAAGGTCTTAGTGTTCCTTGAACTTAGACTGAACTCAGCCCTAGAGTATCATCCCAATACAGCTGGGTTCCATCCATGAACAAAAACCCATTTAAAAATAACAATAATAATAAAATGTCATCAGCTCTCTTAGTTTTTCCAGGATTCCTCAAGATATTGACTATTATAACTTTAGCAAATTATTTTGTTTTCCTCTTTGCTAGATTATCTGACAAGCTTTCCAATCCTGATTTAGACTAAAAGTAGAAGTTAGCTGGACCAAGGCAAGCTTGTCTTTGTTTGAGGCAGAGTCAAGGCCTGAAAAAATAAATAGAGCTTTAGAGAGAGAAATATCCACTTGAACAGAGCCAGTTTTCTATCATGAGATCTTGATCAGGGGTTCCAGGATTTTTTTAAACTTCACCTACCTGGAACATTCTAATATTCTTTCCACCAGATCGTGTCCAAAATTGTAAAGGGAGTGGAAGAAAACAACAATTCAAACAATTCTTGTCAGTAAAGCCTAAAATGGAAAATAAATAAAAACCCGTAGCATACAGTACATATACCGTGTTTTCCCGAAAATAGGACCAGGTCTTATATTATTTTTTGCTCCAAAAAATGCATTAGGGCTTATTTTCTGGTTAGGTCTTATTTTCAGAGAAATACGGTACTAAATGCGTCTGTCTGGCTGACAATCTTAACTGGGGCTTATTTTGGGGTGTGTCTTATATTACGAGCGTCCTGAAAAATGATGTTAGGTTTTCCAGTTGGGTCTTATTTTCGGGGAAAATATTTTCCACAATGAGTCTCTTCATTATTTAAATTATATAAACTGGAGTTCTGGAAATGAGACTGGATAGTGATGGTTTCTTTTGAAAAATTGCTTTTCAAAAACCTGTATTCTTTTGGCATTAGTAAGCACAATATTAACTTGCCGTCAGGTAGCAGTAGTTTAGCTAATTCCAATTTGCTTGTCAAAACAACTGTAGAAAACATGTAATATTCGTGAAGAATTATTTCTTTTAGTTCATCAGTCTTAATATGTTCTTTTTCTGAATCACATGGTAAATATGCAGATTTTTGGAGAAAATATGGAGATAAATATGGGTCTTGTCAAGCTGGGATATCAACATTTTACACTGAGGTGTGTAACTTAAGATTATTACTTCACTGTTGAAGTTATTTATTTTACTCATGAAATAAAATATGTTTAATTTGGTAATATACAGGTAGTCCTCAACTTACAACAGTTTACTTAATGACTGTTCGAAGTTACAGCGGCATTGAAAAAAGTAGCTGATGACTATTTTTCATACTTACGACCATTGTAGCATCCCCAGGGTCACGTGATTTACATTGGGATGCTTGACAACTGACTCACATTTATGACATTTTTCAGTGTCCCAGAGTCATGTGATCCTCTTTAGCGACCTTTTGATAAGCAAAGTCAATGGGGAAACCAGGTTTAGTTAACAACCGTGTTACTAATTTAAGAACTGCAGTGATTCCCTTAAACAACTGTGGCGAGAAAAGTCGTAAAATGAGGCAAAACTCACTGAACAAATTTCTCACTTAGGAACATAAATTTTGGGCTCAGTTGTGATCATAAGTTGAGGACTACCTGTATTGGAAAATGTGCAGTTAGTGCAGGCTAATTCAAAGGGCTGAAACGAGACCTGGGAAGCTGCTGCTATTTCATCCAGCTGCAGACTGGAGCGTCTCCTTGATGCCCTTCAAGGCTGACCTTTCTCTTTCTCTCTTTTTTCCCCAACCACCACCTCTTTCCTTGGCAAGGGGTGAGTGAAATGAGCTATTGAAAAGACGTCTCAGGTTGTCCTCACTAGACAGCTTGTTGCCTCTTCTTTCTGAGAGGCAGATGTTGCCACAGTGACACCTTGTAATTCCAAGCAAAGATGGAATATTGTTGTTTGGTTTCAATCAAAACCAGTTAGTGACCTTGGACAGCTATTGCAAAGATAGTAAGGCTGTCACAAGGTTTTTTAATAAATATAATGCCCTGTATATGGCCTAACATTTCTATTTTGAAATTAACAGAACATAAATTATAATGTGAGCTGGGATTATTCATGCAAAGCAATGATAAAACTCACCACGTTCTTTCTCAGGTTGAGAAAATAGCGGACTTTGCTATGATTTTTTATGCTCTATGTGAGAAAGATACATTGTGTAGTATATTACTCACAAAATGCCTTTTTTCATTTGGCCTGCTTGGATGTATTTAGCAATGGAATAGCTACTGTAGCTTCCAAACTATGTTTTAAGTTAAGACTTAAGCTTTTTGCTTTCTTCTAGGATTTAATTATCATGGGAGCCCCAGGATCAGATTATTGGGCTGGTTCCATCTTTGTATACAATAAAACAGCAAACATATTTATTTCATATCTGGATGTGAGTCATCAAATAAAGTATGGAAGTTATTTAGGTAAAAAAATTAATATTTGTGTATAAACCTTCAGCTTAATGTGTCTCCTGACAATATGCTTCCCAGACAAAAAATGGCAGGAAGGTGATGATGCTCAAGGCAGCTTCCTGCCATGAGTTCCTTAGTGCTGGCTACGTATTTTGCCCTGCCTGGTTTAATTTTAAAATTCAGTGTACAAAGTGAGTGAGAAACTAGCATGCTGTGGAGCTAAGTAGAAACCTCAAGCATGATCAGCATTACCTTTGAGCCCTACCTGGATTTCATTGGTATTCTTAGAAAGGAAAATGTTAAGGGATTTTGTTGGCTTCCCTGTGTATGGAATTTTGTGGGGTTATGCAAAATATTTTGAGTTTGAGACATTTCTTGTGCTCTGCTTTTTATTTATGTAATGAGGGTTGCAAATCAGATTCCACCATATCATATATACTGAAGTTTCTTCTTTTGTCCCAAGAATGTGTCCTGTACATTAGTTTATTGCATTCTTTATGTAGAAAATCTATGTATCGAGAGAGTACTGATTCTAACTAAAAGCATTGTTTCATTTTCTTAAGAAAATCATCCGTCTTTTAGATTTTCAACAGGACATATGCAAAGCAGTTTTCAGTGATTGCACTGCATATATATATATATATATATACACACCCAGGAAGTTGGTTTTATAGACAAACTTACCAATTTTAACTTTGGTGTACACACAAACACTTCAGCATTTTTTTCCCTTGTTCAGAGTAATTCTGCTCAGCCGAGTATGTTGAATATGCCAATTCAGCATATGGTGGCATATATTCCCACCCACAGTGTGAGATAAACAACAGAGTCACCTGATTGCATTCTGAGTGGTGTAAATAGGGATTACTGTATAGAAGCATATTTCCACATTCTATGGAAGTATCCTAATAGTAGTACCTAAATAGATTGCTAAAGGGATTGGATATCCAACTTTTGGGCATATGAGCACAGATACCGAATTAATCTGCTTATTCATTTGCAAGCGTACTCATTCCCAATTATGGGAGTCAGTGCTCAAATAAAGAATTCATTTAATGCTAAACTTTCAGATTATTTGCAATGAGACAGAATGCTGCACTGGAAAACTCACTGCTTCCATTCACTGTTCTTTTATGGATAGGTTATTCTGTTGGAGCAGGTCACTTCCTTTCTGCAAGTAGCTCAGAAGTAATTGGAGGTGCTCCCCAGCAGGACCAGACTGGTAAAGTAAGAGGTTTTTCTTTAATGTGGTAGATTATAAAAATATTTCTGTGTAGAAATAAATTCATAGCTTGCAATGACAGAGAAGAACTATCTGCCAGAGATTCTTTGGTGATAACTAAATAACCTGGGGCTATTTTTTTTTTCACAAATGTTTTCCCAGAACATATTTTTTTCATGTATACATATGCTGCTTGTTTCTGTGGCTGCAACTGCCAATATGTAGTTGTGCAAGAGATAGTCAATGGTCCCCAGACTTTCATCCACCAAGTATTAATAGACGGTTCATGAAGTAGTGCATTTTTATTGCTAGAGGACGTCAGAGAGTGAAATGTCTAATTCAGGTCATTGCCAAGAGAGTTTACTAAGTTGATCAGTGTTGCATTGAGTGACCCAAGATATTTTGCTGATTGAAGCAAAGAAGGAATGATTTCCAACTACTGATCTGTGTACAGAAGCTGGCTGGATCAGTGGCTGAACCCTACATTATAACTGATGGAGTAATTTCCTCTATTTTAGCTAAGACAGCAAACAAGTTAGCCAAATGGTGCAACATAAGCAGCTTGACACAGGGCAGGCAGTTCATGAAAACTGCTCCGGCTTGTTGCAAACCCCATTGCCTCAGCATTTGCCCCATTCAGGCCATTTCTCATTTTTCACCTTGTAGAAACACTATATATTGTTAGCTTCTTCTGCTGATAAAGAAAATTCTTGCTTTTTGTTTGTTTGTTTGTTTAGGGCTTCTGATGCAGCTGACCTCTCTTGTTTATTTCAGGTTTACATTTTTAAAATTGAACCCAAACAACTATCAATTTTAAGCGAATTGAGGGGTAAAAAGGTGACAATACTTCTACATTTATAAAGTTTGCTAAATGTCACGATATATTCATACCCCTTGGTTGATTTCATGGTTAACCATTGTCTCTTTTTTGTGGGTAGTTTGGTTCTTACTTCGGAGCTACTATTTGTGCGGCGGATCTTAATGGGGATGGCCTTTCAGATTTATTAGTTGGAGCGCCCATGGAGAGTAAAGTCAGAGAAGAAGGAAGGGTTTATGTTTACCTCAACACAGGTTCTGTAAGTATTCATTCTTGTTGAAGAGTGTTATCCATTATAAATGGATAATGATCCAGTGTTAGGAACATCTTTTTCATAATGCTTATTATTATTTTGATAGCTTCTTTTGCAAATAGAAATGATTAATATATTTTAACATGGAAATGCAGCACATTTCTAGATAAAGCATATATTGTGAAACTGTCAGAATACGGTAATGAAATTTTACAATGGTCCAAATATTTCAACTCTTCCATACTATGTTTTTTTTTTTGCCACACATCTATAAAGAAAAGTCATGTTCTGACTGGTAGTGTTAGAAGAATCCTTTACATCTGGAGGTACCTCAGCTTTGTCTGACTAATTTCTATCTTGTGTCTGGTTAGCTTAGAGTGATGCAAAACATTTCCTGGATGTCCCCCCTCTCTCTTTTTTTCCAAGAAATTGGAGGATAGTATCAAAAAGCTAGGAAGTACAGCTACTTCTTTATGTTTTTATAATGCTATTGAAAGAATATTCATGGAAGTGAAACTGCATGGGCATGTAACTTTTTAATGAAAATGGTTAGCTACAATGGATGGCTTCTTTTCCTTCAAATGCTGTTTGAACATTTGTATAGTCCCACTTTGAAAATGATTGGCAGGAACTCTACTTTTTAATTTCTGGGTATGGATTTTGATTTCTCAAAATTATATAAACATAAGATAGTTTTAATGAAAAGGTCTTTTCATCTTATACTTGTAATTTACTAAAGTACCCCTTCATCCAGAAGTCAAGTCACATAACAGGGACTAAATGTCTCTAATTTAGGTTTCTCCTTTGTTTAGTCAGTTTACTTGTGTGCTTATTTGGGATGAGGGATGACTTCCTTAATCAATTTCAGCCTTAGTAATTGCCATATAGAAAGTGTGACTGAATGACTCCAATACATAGAACATTTTAATTTGTAACATTCCTGAAGATTTGTGAGAGGTGCATGTGGTTTGCAGGATACAGATTATACACCTAAAAGTAAAACCGAGCTCATCATGATTATAATGTAATACCTGGAAACTCAGGGTTAATCAGACTTATTTTTATAGGGAGCAAAGATGATGGAGCTGCTGACAGCATTAGCTGGAAGTGATTTGTATGCAGCAAGGTTTGGCGATTCCATTGCCAGTTTAGGAGACATTGATAATGATGGCTTTGAAGGTATTATTAAGTTTCTTTCAAAATGTGTAGTAGTATAAAGGGAAGGATAGGACCCATTGCTCAGTATTGCCTGTAAATGCAGCTAATCTGAAGCATGCCTAGAGATAATATGTAATTATTTTAACAGTGTAGAATTTTGATTCCACATTTATGTGTAGAACTAATCAAAACTGATGAGTTCTCATCTAGCACCCCCTTTAATTGGCAGTAGCTTTTTTTTTTCTCAATAAAAAGATTTTCCAAATTCTTTAGATCATTTTCTATGTAACTTTCAGGATGATGAATTCTGATTAAAAAAAATGATGTTGGCAGAAGGGCCTGGGTATGGGTTTCCATTCAACTTCCTTTCCCCCTTCATCCATTTATGTCCTCTAAATCCATTGTGGTAGAACTTGAATACTTTTAAGAGAATATTCAGGAAGCATGGGACCTATTCAGGAAATGGAAGTCTGTTTTGCCAAAGGAATTGGATTTCACCTCCTTTGCTTGGGATAATTTGGGATAAACTGAAACAAATTATGTAAGAATGTACAGCAGTTGAAGTTTCTCCGCTTTACTGCTTCCCTATATTATAGACTATTATACTGATTTATGCAGGGTTTTTTTTGTCATAGAACACCCAGAATGGAGTTCCGGCACCTTTTTTGGATGGAACCTAGTAGGGTAGGCAAGGCGGGTTGTATGACATGTGTGAGTTCTGGCACCTTTTTTTTTTTTTTTTACAAAAAAAGCACTGGATCTATGAGAGCAGCTTAATTTCTAAATAGAGATAGAGAAAATGATACGTTTCTGCTATATCTTTAAGTTCTCCAATAGATCTAGCTTATTGGAATATCCCTCCATAGCTCTGAGGTTTTACCCCCTAATACACATCTGCCTTTCTCTTCTTCTATTTAATCAAGATAATTCCTCATGTATCTTGTGATTCTTCTATAAAAAATAAATTGGAGGGACTTAGACTAGTCATAATTATTTTTCTATTTTAAAAAGAATAGTACAATGTAATTAATGCATGGTTAATTTCATTTTCCTTTGGTTTTTAACAGATATAGCTATTGGGGCTCCACAAGAAAATGATTTAGAAGGCTCAGTTTACATATACAATGGCAGAGAAGATGGAATATCACCAACATTTTCACAAGTAGGTTTCTTTATATTGTCCTCATGACTACTATTTTTAATATCTAGCTGTAACAGAGAACTCGGCTTAGCTTTTTTGTTTGTTTAAGCAGGCTCAATTGTCAAGGACCCCAGTTCAGTTCTCCAATATTTCCAGATAGGTTTGGAAAATCTCCAGCGAGGAATCGTGGAAGACAATTGCCAATTTGGACTAGATACGCTAGTATAAATCAGTTTCTTATATTCACATTTTTATATTAAGTAGGACATAGAAGTGGAAAGCATGCAGCGTAAGAATGCATTGACACAATTGTTCCCCAATAACAAATACTGTGTTACAGATACATATATGGAGTAGGTTGGGGCAGAGGAAGAGGAAGGATGGAATACCTACCAAAGATCAAAATTGTCCCATTTATTTGGTGGTGTCACGTGTTGACTCTTAGTCGAAACCCTTATGCATGCTAACTGTATTTTGCCATTTGCTTAACAGCCCTTTCCTCTTATCAGTCATTAATGGAAAAAAGACCACTATATATTAACCCTTTTCTATTAGTATTAAGTTGCAAATCTAAGTGAGTTATAATATCAGACTTAATGGTTCACAAATAGACCCCTAATTGTAGAAACAAGTTGCTTATGTTAACAATATGTTAAGGAAGCAGCACAGAAGCATATGCTAGGTTCCAAGCCCACTTGTAGATGCTGAAAATGTTTTACATAACCCATCCCTGTCCAAAGTTGTTACCAAATTGTAATTTTTAATGTGACAGAAAAAAGACAAGATAATTGATGTTACCTGTAATTAATGTAATGTTAAGTAATTATACATAAATGCATTCCTTTAAATGTAGATGGAAGGAAACCAATGCAATTTTTTTCTGTGCCCCACCCATTACTTTTAAGAATTTGGCCCATTTTGTCCTGGCCTAATAGAAGATCTGAGGATGCTCTCAGCGCAGCTTAGTGTTTACCTAATCCTAAAAAGGTATTTGGGATATTGAAAAAAATCATCATTTATACTTAGCACAGATTAAAAACCTTCCATACAGAAGGAAGGATGATTTTATTTTCTGTTATTTTTCTACTGCATTTACTCTGCTTTTTTATTTTTTTAAAAAAATCTTTGTCCCCAAACATTTCTGTGTTAATAATAATTTTTAGAGAATTCAAGGACATCAAATCAGCAACAGTTTACGCATGTTTGGTCAATCCATATCTGGGAAAATTGATGTAGACAGCAATGGGTATTCAGGTGAGTTAACTTTGGTTGCTTTAAATCACTTGGGCAATGTTGTTGTTTTCTTAATTTCCTGCCCACCTTTCTGGGACATAAACCTAAATGAATAAATCAAAATCATTATGAACCAAATAATAAAATACAATAGAACTGGCATGGAACACACATGTTGTAACAAGCAGTTTAAAGACAGCCGGTTTATATGTAAGTGAATTAATATGCACATGGTCCCATAGGCATCTGTCTTATTGAATTAAACAAACTTTTCCAATGCTTTAAAATTGAAGCATTGCTATGCTAATTTTTTTTCAGACTAATGTACTGGAATTTGACAACTTAGAGAAAAGAAAATGGAAAAACAGAACCAGACATGTAATTTTATTAGAAATTTTTAATAGTGGGGTAAGATCAAAACACTTACAAATGTAAGTGCAATATATCTGCATGTAACATTAGTATTTTGCTCCATCCTGTATTAGTAAATCAAATTTAAGTATTATTCTACTTTCATTGTAATCTTTAGTTTCTTCTGGTTCCTCTAAAGTTTAGCCTTCAAAAGTCCCATCCTATTGTTTTAAGAATTCATAATAACAGCAATTTCTCATGTGAAGGACTCTTATAATTAGGTATGCAAACTCTGTGTCCTTTGAAAAGGCACTAACCATGATTTGAGCAAAGAAGATGACTCCCTTGTCTCCCAAAGCTCTAAACTCACCAGAGGTCATTGTCTTGTTATTGTAAGGAGCAGTTGTCTGGAACACTTATGTGTGATCTCAAGTTCTCGCCTTGTTTGGAGTGAGTTGGTCTATTTGCCAATTAATCATTCAACTGTAATCGTCAACTCCGCTTTTAGTGGGGCAGTCTCTAGTTCAGCATTTCTTCCCCAGAAGTCCTGGGTGAGATAATTCTTAAGGAACCTAGGAGATAAGCCACATAAGACTTTTTAGTTTATAACCAGCACTTTGAATTGGAATCGGAAGCAAATTAGTAGTTTAGTAGTCAGGCCACCACATTTTAGAAGAGTAATAGTTTCCAGATTATCTTTAAAGGCAGTCCCATGTAGAGTGTATTGCAGTTTTTAAGTTTGGGATGCTACGGGAATGAGTCACAATTGTCAAAACTTCCTGATCAAAAAGGCAGAAAGGCTTGGTCGTTCAATTAATGCACCAACTGAAGTTGGGCAAAGTCTCCCAACTCTAATTCTCCACTAGCTTCTCTAGCAGACAACTCCAGGAAGAGTCCTAAACAATAAAGCACTCCTATGCACTCCTTCAGGAGACTTGCACCTCTGTCTACAGTGAACACTGAAGTTGGGATAGAGCCAGCTTGATCATGATTCCATGTCACAAGGATTTAATCGGAACTTACTTTGACCATACAAGGTTACAGCTGACTACACAGCTTCAAGACATTGGACAAGTATCCTCATACAGCCTGGACTAGCAGTGTACAGCATCCTTCATCCCAGACTGGCTGCTGACTTCATCAGTGGCATCATACAAACGTTAAACTATATGAGGGAGAGAACCAGGCCCTGTTGCACTCCACAGCAGAGTTTGCCTGTTTGTCTCCCAGACTGGAAAGGAGGAAAACCAATGTAACAGGGTGCCTCCAATCTACAACCTTCACTGGTGCGGTCCAGTTGGTCTAGTGGTCCAGAAAAAGGCCATGATAATGAATAGTGTGGTCATATTGTGAAAAACATGTTGGGTATTGAGGAACAAGACTTGTTTGTTCTATTGCTCCTTCTCTAGATCACAGGCAGCTTGAGAACATTGTTTCATTTTGTTCATGACTTATTGCAATATAAATTCTGCACTCTAGAAGCATCTACCTATGAGCATCACCATAGAGAAGCCAAAAATGAATCATAAGAATACTTTCTGAACTGTTCTTACCAAATGTTCCTGGCATTTTGTGATGAGAACAGGAGCATGCAGGCATATTCGCTGATGTTTTAACAACCTGATTTGTCACATTGAGGGAATAGCCTCTGAGTTTAGGATTTCAATTGAGAAGTTTGAGAAGATTCAAAAGAAGAGTGAAATGAAATTAAAGAAACCACTATTACTGTCTAAATTTGACTCTTAGGAAGTATGAAGTGAAGATGTACCAGCACAGATGCTAATGATGTTGACAAAATTCTTCTTTTCCTGTATAGTGTTAGAGGTAGTTGTAATCCAATCACATTTGCAGACAGAATAAGCCTTTCCAACGATTCTGGTAAATACTTCCTAGGAAAGCAAAGAGAAATAAGAAAATGGACAAGACGCTTGACGTATTTATATCATTGTCTTCCAATGCTTCGTCTCAAATATTGTGGAAAGTCCCTTTTTTGATGAGAATATTTTGTTAGAACTCTTTCATTAACTGAATGTTTCCTGGAGTGATGCATCAGACCCCTTCAGGCCACCAACAGAAGGACAGAGGGGCCGTATGTTCTATGGTGCCAGAAGAAATTAGGAAGCATGCACTAACTTTATCTGCACATCCCTAGGGGAAAAATTATTTTTCTTTGCCCATTGAAACTAGGATATGCTTCAAGGTCTCTTGATTTTTCCATATGTTCTTGACTACATATGAAATTTGAAGCAGCAGCATGTGTAAGAGAGGGAATCAAACTGATAAAAGCAGTACTGTGCATTCATGATGCAATTCCTGCTCTTTTTCTGCATTGGGTATAGTATAAATACAAAGGCCCCAAAGAAGTGGAGTTTGTGCCATGATGCCATAGTACTGCTTTTCTCAATCTGACAAATTCAGTAAGATCCCACAGGTGCCACTGATCCAAAGTATCCGAAGGATCTTCTTCAAAATGTGAAGGTCAGGGGTGGTTATGTCCAAGAGATCCCTTTCCCCTGCAGAAGCAGGGAGAATTGTAAATCACTATTTTTAAATTTTGAGCAGGAGTTTAAATTTTTGCTATAATTAATTGCTCTTCCATTTAGAGCAGGGGTCCCCAACCCCCTGTCCATGGAGCGGCACCGGGCGATAGCATGCCAGAAACTGGGCTGCGCAAACAAGCGAAACCCCATCCGCGGGATGCAGGCAGCACATGAAACCATGCCCCCTACGGTCCATGGACAAACCTCCACAGAATTGGTCCCTGGTGCCCAAAAGGTTGAGGGCTGCTGACTTAGAAATGAACTTTCTTCAGTTCATTAATTAAAATAATCAAGCCATATTTTGATAAATCTGTTTCAGACTTTCTAATCAAAAAAAATGTATCAATGTAGTCCTATAATTAATAATGTCAAAAAGCAATTTGATTCAATCCAGAGATAAAGAAGAACCAAAGGGAACATTTATAATGATTCAGTTCTCAAACTGTATTCCTGTTTTATATATATATATATATATATATTTTTACAGATGTAGCAGTTGGTGCTTTTTTGTCAGATTCTGCTGTATTACTGAGGTAGGTCAAACATATTTTAGAGTTCAGAGGCAACTGAATTAAAATTTGCAATATATATCTGATTTCATCATACTTTCGATTAAACTGTGATCTTAATCTTTAAACTCTAATATTAATATATCACTTATTTAATATATTGGGGCATTAAGATTTGTTTTCCAAGCAATGGGCACCTCAGAATTTATTTATTTCACACTCATCTCTTGCATCCTAAGATATTGTCATTAGGTATTCATTACCAGTCAGCAGATGGTTTGAAGGCCAAAGGAAATGAAGCATTTCTTCAGTAAAGTATGGGTAGTCTGCTCCAGATAGAGATTTTGACTTTCAGAAGTGACTCAATGCTTCCAACCCCATCTATGCCTTTCTATTAAAGCTCAATCTCTGTTTGTCCTCGGCTCAGGACAATTCTGATCTTGTCTGCTTTTAAACAATAAAAAGTTAGACATGCACGCTACAAAATTAATATGTCATTTGATCCATTAGAATCTAAATCAATGTGTTTGTCTTTAAAAACAGAACGCCCAGAATTATAAATATTAATAGAGCATCTTGTGATCATGAATTCCTCCTTTTTAGGACAAGAGCAGTAATTATCGTGGAAGCATCCTTAAAGCACCCCAACTCTGTAAACCGCACCATATTGGACTGTGTGAGAAATGGACAACCAGCTGTGTGTGTTAATCTAATGCTTTGTTTTAACTATACTAGCCAAACCATCCCAGGTTACATAGGTAAGCTTCTTTCTTTGTGCTTAGCACTTTCATAACTGAATATTCAAAAACAAACGCTGGTGGTTAAGATGAATTTATTACTAGCTGATACATAAATCAAACTTAGTGGTTATCCATTGCTATTTTACCAGTGGTTTAAAACACATATGACTGTTTTATGACCAGGAAATTCTGAATTCTGGTCTTACCTCAGGCATGGTAAAGAGTGACTTTGGCCAGTTCCTTTTTCCTCAGAAAAAGGAAACAGCAAGCTATTTCCAAAAATATTGCCAAGAAAACTGCATAGACTTCTCTAGGTATCCCTCAAAGGCATGGGCTTGTGCACGCACCCGCTCATGCACACACACACACACACACACACACACACACACACACACACACACTGTTAATAATTTGAAAGTAATTTATCCTGGCATGATTAGCCCACAGTATTCCTCCTTAGGGGTTATGATAATAAAATGAGGCATCGCAGGCTATGTTCCACAAAAATATATGCATACGCATGTGTATTCACTTTTCAGAACCGTGTAAAGAAATGTTAAGTACATAGTCTTTTATGCATATTGTTGTATCTTGGTAAATCACAAACTTAGAGCACACTCTGGAGAAAAGCTACATGTTCTTTAAGCAGTGTTAAGTTTGTATGAAGGCAGAGAACTATGTCGCGCTAAAAGAAAGACATTGACGTGTCCTCTTATTTATATGCACACACACAAGCACAAACCAGATTCTGAATACACACTAAGATTTAGTAATAAAAAGTGATGTTCCAAAGATTGGATAGAAAATCCTGGAAACGTAAAACCACCTACAGCTTAAATACACTGTGTATTTTAACATAAGTAGTTCACCCATCAGTTTAATGAATACGGAAATGTTTCTAACTTTTTTTTTCTTATTTTATTCCTTTTTTTTAATCTTTACAGTATTGCTTTATAATCTAAGCCTGGATATTAATAGAAGGCCAGATACTGCAGCAAGATTTTATTTTTCCTCTAATGGAACCTCTGAGGCCACCTCTGGAAGTGTCCGGATCTATAGCAACAACAATTTTATATGCAGAACCCATCAGGCATTCATGAGGGTAACATTGTCTTCATAGACTTGTTGGGATGGAAGTGTCCACTTGGAAAGGTCATCCAAAAAGCTCTAGCCCAGGGCTTTGCAATCTTGACAACTTTGAGACTTAGCTGGTTGAGGAATTCTGGGAGCTGAAGTCCACAAGTCTTAAAGTTGTCAAGATTGCAGACCTCTGCTCTAGCCTCCTCCTGTCAGGGGACCTGCAGCAAGCTCTGACCATGGTCATCTACCAAGATTTATTCAAGCCATACATAAAAATAGACACTTTTGGTTCTTACATCACAACTCATGTTTCCCATCTATTACAAATCAGCTCTTTCTTTCTCCTCCTGTACCTTTTGAACTTGTCGGAAGACACTCAGGTTACGTGAATTTGGTGTCAAGTACCAAACTTGTTTTTCAAATCATGCTTTTTCAATACCTGAGAAAATAATAGCTAATTGGTGTAGTGAAAATAATATAGAGCAGATGCAGGGAAACCTTGCGGAAAATTAGAATGAATTGTAAAACCTATGAACTGATCAAAGCAAACTTGTTATTGAAAATTAGGGCAGGGAACCTGTGGAAGAACAGTCAGTGGCAGCCTATCTCCCATTCCAGGGGAATAATTTAATCAACTTTAATATAATCTGTGATACTTGGCGTAGATTTATTTTCACAAGCAGTTAAACACAATCTACAGTAAAACCTTCCATACTTAGATAAACGTAAAGAAATTGTACTCATTCCAGCATATAAGTGTAGTAATTCCTGTAGCATACAAGATTCCGTATCTTGAATTTAGACATAAATTTACTGTTTAGTTAAGAATGACTTCCATTATGCTCAATGGGACTTGCATCCTAGTAAAGTCAGGACTGCACTATTAATCAAAGTGAGGAATGGAATATCAGCTTCACTGCTGTGTCAAGATTTATGCTCGTTCTTCTACTGTCCTTCCTTAGTACTTCAACATAGGCAGCACTTCAATTTGCATTATAGTACAATAAATCTAAGGGACTGAAAACATTTAAATACAACTCAGTCTGAGCTTTATAAATTGATCAGATAATCAGCATAGTATCTTTCTTAAGCAATAAAATCTCACCTGCTTTGTGTTATGAAAAATCTTAACATAGAAATAAAAATTATGCTAAAAATATTCTTAAATATGCAATGTTCAAGCTATTTGGCCTTTGTTTTTGCATACCGTTGCCTGGGGTTTTCTTTTGAATGGATTTCCTTAGATGCACTCTAAGAGAGAATTCAAATTTGGAGTGTATGCAGCCATGCAAAACTAGACACCTTATGTGTTATTTCAGGATAAGTGCCGAAAAGTAGAAATTGCTTATATTGTTGATTGGTGAATATTGTTCTCAGTTTTATGCAATTCGTTTATTTGATCTCATATGCTTAGAAAGATGTAAGGGATATTCAAACTCCTATACGGGTTGAGGCTACCTATCACCTGGGACACCACGTTTTGAAGAAGAGAAATGCGGACGAACTCCATTCACTTCAGCCAGTACTTCAGCAACGGAAAGAAGATAATATTGTGCACAGCAAGGTATGTGTTCCTGGCTTGTATGACAGTAGAAGTCTAACAAGCTGGTGGACATCAGTTGCAATGGGCTACTTTTCTGTTTCAGACCCTCATCTGAAGGATTGTTTTACTTATATGGGCTTTATGGTGGGTAAGAATAAAGGCCTGACTTTCACGTAATATTAGCTATACTAAATTATGGATTTTGTAACATTGCTTATAAAACTATAGAAAGAGCATTTTCTCATGCAGAAGAGAAAGAGAACACATGTTGGTGCTAAATTCTGTAACTATTAAAACCATATGGAACTTGGGTCATGATCTGCTGTTGTGATTCATCCAATTCTTTTAATGTAACTGGGACATGATGAAGCCCTAGCCTTGTGTTTACTTTGGATAGCTCTATAAATGTCAAACTGTAAACAAACTCTCTACATATTATGCCAAATGACTGACTTATTGCCTTACTCTAGAGAAAACATCAGGCAGTAGTTCAGACATAACATTGTAGGACCTCTGCTGCTGGCATAGTTTTCTGGATCAAGGCAAATATTTTTATTTTCTGATACTCACTTTTTCAATATAAAGGATAGAAAAGCAGTTGAACATAACTGCTCTAAATTAATACATACCTCTAGATCAGGGGTGTCAAACTGCCGGCCTGTGGGCCGGATGCATCATGCCGAAACCGCGCCCACCCCATTGCCGGCAATGGAAAAAAAGTCGCGATACATCGTGACATGTCATGTGACATTGCGAGTTTGACACTGCTGCTCTAGATACTGTTGTGATAAAAGGTCAAGGGATTTGTTTCCACACGAACTTTTCTAGTACCATCCAACACAAATGTCAAAATGTCTTTCTTATCACTTTGCTTTGGAAACTATTTCATTTAATAGCAGTATTCTTTTCATCACTCATAATTTTGGTGGATCTTGTCATATGACAGCATGATATGGTGGTCCCAGAAATTGTTTATAATTATTTTTGTTGTGAAATGGCAGCAACGAAAGGCTAATTATTTCATTTATTGTTGTATTTTTACTCAAGATAGGGGAAATGTTTTGGGGTTTGCTGGTGGAAGTGACCAGATTGCTTGTTTCTGGAGTTTGGCATCTTTACATATCTGTGTGTAGGAAAAGGGTTTTGCGGCTTTTTTACTAGACATTCTTACAAGAATACCCCATGTTTGATGTTGTGGTATGTCTGAAGCTTTATGTGGTGATAAAGGCTGCTTTGAACATTTGGTACAGTGACCGTATATCTTTGATTATAAAGGACAGCCTTTTATTTCAGAAAACTTTCCTTTAGATTTATTTCATTTAATTATTTCTTTTCTTGGTTTTGCTTTTGGATTTACTTCGTAAGTTATAAAATATTTTTTATCTTCATGAACCCCCTTTTCAGGTTTGTCTTTTAATTTTTTTCCCAAGAAAATATTGCCACTGTAATTATTGATTTTAAAAAGTGCCTAAAACGAGCCTTTGGTAGAGACAGATTGGCATGAATTGAAGTAGAAGGTGTCAAATTCATGTAATTTGAAAGGCAGAGGATAATGTTTTCTTACTGGTTATTTTGGATTTCATAGTAAAAATATTTTTGAATATATATCTTCAAAATTATTCTAAAAAGTTGTTTCTGTTCTTCTTTCAAAGTTTGTTTTTGCAAGATTTTGTACTCAAGAAAATTGTTCTGCAAACCTTCAAGTTTCTGGAAAACTTACATTTCCAAAGTAAGTCCATTATAATTGAGAGAAAGTGAACAAGCTTTATGAACTTAGACCTAAAAAAAATTCTTTTTAGGAAGAATGGAATCAGATATCAGAAAGTTGTACAAAACATAAAGAATGATGTCTGAAGTTACACAGTGGAGTCAAAGAGGAGCTGAGTAAACATGTGGAGCCCTGGAACTATATGAGAAACTATGTTTATATGATTATATTCTGGAATTATTCTGTTAGCTTCAAAACATGTTTCACTGGTCTGCTTACATATACTGAACTATTATATACAATGGTTTGCTTCTTTGACTTAGCATGAAATGCAGACTGTTTCCAGTTCAATGTTATTTGTTTAACCAGATCAATCTATCCCATTCAACAAATAATGGTTAAAAAAAATCTGGCTTGATATTATGTGTGAACGCAACAGATGCATTAATGTCCATATAGAACCCTGCACTATAATTTAACAAAAGAGTAAATTTTTGAAAGAGTATAGCAACTTCCTAAGATTAGATAATATAAAATATTCCTACAACCATTTGGTGAGGTAGTGCAAGGTCACCTTAGTGTTGTCACCTGATTAGATAGAACAATGAAATTCCACTCATATGCACAGAATTCTAATATCTTCCCATGCTATTTTAAGCAGAGAAGGAACGTTATCCCTCCCTTTTTAACTAGAATGTGACTTTGCCTTTTCTAATGGAAAGCATACATCTTTCTCCCTGGATCCTTTGCATGTCTCCTGTTATAAAATTGTAGCTGTTACCTCATACTGTCTTTTGCTTTCTTCTCTGTAACGGTAATTGGAGATCTAGCATTATGAGAGTTGATTCAGACAGCGGGAACTTCAAGGAGTTTATAAGGGGTCATAACTGGTTTCCGGTCACAGATAAATGTAGGCATTGATCATTCTCTAATCAAACAAGTTAATTCTGTCATCTGTGCTATTTTTGTCATCTTCATCAGCCATCCTTCACAGTCTTTCCATTTTTGAACATATAATAGTCTCTCGGGCCCATCTTATCTATCATGATGTGGGTAAATAGATACATAGGCTGCAGTGATACCATCTGCAAAACTAGTTTTCATTAAAAAATACGTATTTTCACGATTGTGCATAAATTAAAAGGGAAAGTAATTGTTTTTCACATTCAAGCAGAAGTTCTGCTGAACTGCAGAATGCTTTTATGGGTTACAGCGACTAGAATTTTTAAATTTCCCTTCTATAAAGGCAAAAGTTGCATGATCTGTTCTTCTATTTTCTGAATTTACCTGGCCTGTGAGTTTCTTCTTTTCAGGGCTGAATTAATCTTTTTTTCTCCCTCCTTAGGAAACTAGCAAACCCTTAGCTTAGAAATATTTCTCTACCTGACTGCTAATCAGACTTCATTTCTCCTTTTTTGCACTTCTTTTGCATTGTCTTCTTTCAGGGCCACAGCCAACTTGTAAAATTCTGCATGATATCAAAATAATTCATTTTAATCCTTCCTTAGAAATCGACAAGTCATTCAATTCCTATGGCTCCCCTCTTTATCATTTCTCCAGAGTCGTGTTTTCTGTAGAGGTGAGCTGTAGCCTGTTTATGCCCTTCTGAACCATCAAGGAATTCATAAGTGATTTGGTCTGCTTTAGAGGACTTGTGTTTTACCTCAAAAATCTCCTGGAGCTTTCAAAATCAGCTCAATTTGGCATTCATCAAATTTTCCTGGATATCCAAGTTCTTAGGGTTGGGATAAAATAGGCTGAAAATTAATGCTAATTTTTTTAAAAAAAATATTAATTCATTAATTCATCTTTTTATTAGTTATATAGTGCCAACCCTACTATAAGAGAGAGGGATCAATCTGTTTAAATATATAAGGCAAGGAGGGAGGCTCAATGTTTAGGGCAAAATGGTTAGGAAGGGAAACAGATGTCTCCCTGTATTTACTGTTTCTACTTCCATGCCTCTTCCTGCTGTGAAGATTTTTTTCAGTAGATGAAAACTACAAAATCTACGGTAATCGTGTCATCTTTTGCTGGTAAGGAAAAAGCTCCCGACTTGAATAGTGGCAGGCAAAGGTGTAAACAAATAGGATTGGTGTTATCACATCTAGTTTTGCTTTCCACAAAGTGTGAAACACCAAATTATTTTCCCCAGATACTTATTCTTTATCTGTGAACAGCATTTTTTTTCAGCCCACTAACTTCTAATAATCAGGCAGCTGATGGTGTCTTTTTCGACTAACAAATGCTATTAGGAGGCATAAGTTTTTGTGAGCAGTTGCTCGACAGATGCATATGATCAGGTCTTTGCATTTGATGCTGCAGCTTGCGGAAACTTATCCCTTTTAATAAAATTTGCCAGTTCAGAAAGGTGCTATCAGATTTCTTCTGACATTTTGTTACATTAGACTAATATGGCTCTCCTCCAATCATCTTACTGAGAAAGCTAGATAAGAATATGTATGATTTACACATTAATGTACACTTATGCTTTATCTGCCCATCTGCCCTTCCTAAATTACTTTAATCAGATAACTTAATTAGCTTGAGTTGACACATAATATATTTCGTATAAATTGTGGATTAAAGGAAGAACAAGAAACTCTGAATAAAGTGAAAAACTGTTAGTTTGCTTTATGGATGTTTCTAATCTACCCTGGGCATTTCTTCCTCCTTTGCATCACTCTGCTAACAAAGCAAAACACCATCAAGGAGAAAGCAGGAAAGAATATCAATTATTTATATTTAAAGAAACTTTCAAGCACGCCATTAGCTAGAGATCCAGCCACTGAAATATTAGTATTTGTATTTCGCATGTTCATTTGAAACTTTACTTATGTAGTACTTTTACCTTCTGTTGTCTGTTCTAAATGCCAACTTTCCTCCCCAAGGTATTAAATGACTAATGTATTGGTCTCAAGCCAGAATGTTTGATAAATGCCTATTTCAAGGCAGCTCTTCTGCAAGTCTTAATTAAAGTTTAATGTCAAATTGAAACTTACTTTCAAATTTTCTTAGGTTTTTTTTTTTCCTTTTTCCTTGTTAAAACATGATTAGAGAACACTGGGTAAAACATAAGATAGACATTTTCACTCATGTGCACAAGTAATGTCTTTCATTAAGTTTGAGAGTAAAATGACAGACACTTTGTGCACCATAAGATAATGTATCAGCTGCATTAAAAAAGGGACATTTCACCCACAGTGACAGTGGAAGTAGCATACATAGGAGGGTATGTATTGTTAATTATAGGGAACTGAGCAATTCCAGTTATATAGAGCAGTGGTTCTCAACCTTTTTAATGCCGCGACCCCCCACCAGTCATAAGTTGAGGACTACTCAACTGGTCGTAAGTCGAGGACTACTCAACTGATGCAACACCGTTTGCAGAATGGGACTTTTGGCGGGCTCAGCAGGGCAGAGACAGCCTGGACAATTCCTATTGGCTTTTGAAAGCCAATAGAATTAGACTCTATTCAAGAGAGTCTCTTCTACTGGCTTTCAAAAGCCAATAGAATAAAAGGGAGTAGCACAGCTAAGGAAAAGGGGAAAAAATGGCGGACTGCATTGTTTGGCGACCCCCGTGAAATGGTCGTTCAACCCCAAATGGGGTCCCGACCCACAGGTTGAGAACCATTGATATAGAGGAAAACGGGTTTTCTAAAAAGGATGAAGAACTAAAGAGTCAGTGTTTGAGCAGAGAAAGAGGACAAATAAAAGTTTGTTGTGTTTGATATATAGTTACTGGTCAACTGCTATTACATTGCTTAAATGGTAAGAGAAATATCATGCACATACCTTATCAGCTGAGGAATGGAAAAATCCTCAGTGTAGCAAGAAAATAAATAAACAGTTGTGTGCTGACTATTTCAAATGTTTAGTAAAATGTTTTTCATTTTGTGGTAGAAAGACAGAGACAACTATTCTATCTTGCAAAGAGATCAGCCTGATTCCTAATATAGAGACTGAATTTAATGGACTAGATGAGGATAGTGTAGGATAAAAGCTAAATTGGATCTGATATATTTATGTTAAGGATAGTTAATATGGATATTCCAAGTGTATTTTTTTTTGTTGCATTGACATGTACAGTTTAATGAGGAAGTTCTGCAGAAGCCACACTAAGGGCTTTAGGAAATACAATATGTGCACTCCAAATATAGATTAAAAAAATATTTGGTTATAACTGTTTTATCTGATCCTTCATATAGACAGCTCAAAGTATCGTACAGGGATTTTCCTTTTTGTGCTGTTATGATGTCTGTGAAGCTGATTAGTTCTTGCATCCCTCTGTTACATAAATTTGCCTAAAGCACTTAAATCCATAGAATTTGGTTAATATTTCCTCACTTATTGCTGAGATCACACAACTGCTCTATCCTGGAGTGAGATTCACCTGAAATGAGATTTTTTTACCCTGTAAGATGGACATAAACAATCAGTTTATTAAGTAATCCAAAATATTCACTTGGTGAATTATCACTACACAATTAGAACTGTTCATTCTGAGATCAGGAGGGGCCAAATCAGCTTACAGGAATTCATCTGAAAAACATAAATATGGGGAGTATTCTTTGATTATCTACAGGTGGTGTCAATTAGTTTCATATCAAAGATGCATTTTGGAAATGATTACTTTCCAAAATGATAGCATAGTTAAGAGCAAATTCCAGTTTTTCTAGTGGAAGGATGCACATATTTAATTTTGAAGTGGAAAAGCCAGGTCTGAACTTCTAACAGTAGGATGCAGAACGAAAGAAGAAATCTAAAATGAAATATAATGTTTCCTTTTCTGTTGCATTAAAACTGCAGTTCAAAAAGAAGTGGTTTAAATTAAAATGGTGTATATTCTTATTCATTTTGTATAGGCCTTATGAAAAGAAGCCTTACCTTTCAGTGGGAAATGTGAAACAGTTGACATTGAGTATCACCTTGTACAATGCTGGTGATGATGCTTATCAGACCAGCCTTCATATCCAGCTGCCTAAAGGTCTCTATTTCACTAAACTTGTAGCACAGGTAAGAAACCTATCTTCTATATCTTTGTATAAAATAATTTGCCAGACACCTTTTCATTCATTTGGCTAAAAAAAAAAAAGCAAAAGTTTCATTTTAAAACATTTGAAACTTAATTCACAAGACAAACTGAAATAAAGCAGGGCGACTGATTTAAACCAATGTACAGAACTACAGTCATTCTTCCAGGTTGTTTGGTTCTCTTAATATTATTCATTGAATAAGAGAAAAAGATCAATAGATAAAAATAAAAAGTTTTTCTTTTTGTTTCATAGAAATCAGTGGGGCTTACTGCAGAATAAGTATGTCAAGGACTATATAGTAGTAAAACAGTTGTTTATAAAACCATATAAATTTTCCTTCAAAATTTCCCCTTCTTTGGGAAGACTACAGCTACAATTTTCTAGCAAGGCAAAGTGTATTCAATTATGAAAATTTTTGAAGTATTATTTGATGAAGCAGCAAGCAAGCTATATGTCGATACCACTTTTTGCCCAAAACAAAAAGGTTAAAAGCAGATATTTAACATGGTACAAAATTAGACCTAATTTGTTTAGACCTATAAATTGTCTCCTCTATGTGGCCAATGACACATGAACAACACAAAGTAATTTACTCTGTGTTAAATGTAAGGACTTCAAACAGCTTCCAATTTTCTTAGAAAAAACTGAATTAAGTTTATAGGAAGTGGCAGCCAGCAGGTGTATCACCACCATCATCCCTCGTGGAAATCACTTTTGTTGGACCACACTATAGACTATGAGTACACATGTAACAAAACATTGTGCCTTCTTAATTATGGTCTGTTGTCCTCTATCCAAAATAACAATGTCCCATCAACTTCATAAATCATACAGTTTTCTTTAGAATGTGAAATATTTGTAACCTGTCAGTAGGCATAATGTAACTGGAAAGATAGAATTCACTCTTTTTCTCTTTGAATGATAAGCCTAACCATGCTGAATAGTAGTAACTGTGAGAGGGACCTCGGAGTCCTAGTAGACAATCACCTAAATATGAGCCAGCAGTGTGCTGCAGCTGCCAAAAAGGCCAACACAGTGCTAGGCTGCATTAACAGAGGGATAGAATCAAGATCACGTGAAGTATTAATACCACTCTTCAATGCCTTGGTAAGGCCACACTTGGAATACTGCATCCAGTTTTGGTCACCACGATGGAAAAAAGATGTTGAGACTCTAGAAAGAGTACAGAGAAGAGCAACAAAGATGATTAGGGACTGGAGGCTAAAACATATAAGGAACGGTTGCTAGAATTGGGTATGTCTAGTTTAATGAAGAGAAGGACAAGGGGGGACATGATAGCAGTATTCCAATATCTCAGGGGCTGCCATAAAGAAGAGGGAATCAAGCTATTTTCCAAAGCACCTGAAGGCAGGACAAGAAGCAACGGGTGGAAACTAATCAAGGAGAGAAGCAACCTAGAACTAAGGAGAAACGTCCTGACAGTGAGAACAATTAATCAGTGGAACAGCCTGCCTCCAGAAGCAGTAAATGCTCCAACACTGGAAGTTTTTAAGAAGAGACTGGACAGCCATTTGTCCGAAATAGTGTAGGGTTTCCTGCCTGAGCAGGGGGTTGGACTAGATGACCTCCAAGGTCCCTTCCAACTTTACTACTACTATTATTATTATTATTGTTATCAATGCTTCTGTAAACAACCTGAGGTTTATCTTGAAGTGAATTAAACTTTCAGACTTTTATCAGTGATAGTGCTGGTGGTATTATTGGCCTGCAAAGATCACAGGAAGTTTTTTCTGTTTTCTTGTTTTATTCAATCTTCCAAATACCTCTGTATTTCTTTATAAGCGGGGGTGTAGGATTTTGATTTAGAGATGTGGGAGTTCTGTTAACCTTTTCTCCCTTAAAAAAAAAAAAAGGTAAAGGAGTTTCTGCGGATTTTTACTCCAGTAGTCATTGCCAACTATTGGGGGGGAGGGGCGCTCATCTCTGTTTGAAGGACATTTGAGTCAGCACTGTCTGGAGACATTTCTGCAGCCATTTGGCCAGCAGGACTTCCCGCTGAAGTGATACCAGTTTATCTCTTCACATTTGCATGCTTTTGAACTGCTAGGTTGGCAGGAACTGGGGTGAGGATGGAAGCTCACCCCATTGCATGGCGCTCAGGTCTCAAACCCGGGCTGCCAGCTTTCCAGCTGAGAAACCCAGCATCTTAAGTGCTGAGCCACCACACATCCCTTTCTCTCTAAATCATTTTCTGATTTTTTTTCTTCCTTCAAAACTGCTATTTTCTTTTTTGGGGGAGGAAGCAAACCCTTTCAGAAAATAGGGAAAAAATTTAGTCAGGAACTAAGCATAACAGGAAAAGATTAGATAGAATTCCCTGTTTTCAATATTCCTTATAATCAAAGTCTCAGAGAACATCTAGATCAGGGGTCCCCAACACCCGGGCCGTACCCCACTTCCTGTTTGGAACAAGGCCTTGCGAGTGGCAGGCCGGCATGCACCTGCGTGGGCAGCTTCACTTGCGTGAACGGTGGGCCAGCATACATGCAACTCCACTACTGCAAGTAATGGGCCAGCATACATGCAACTCCACTACTGCAAGTAATGGGCCCGCATGCACATGTACACCAGCCCGCCACTTGCACAGCCCAGTTCCCCTCTCCCTCCCCAGCCGGGAGCCACAAAGATTGGGGATTCCTTTGTTACCTTGTCAATTTGAAAAATTGTTTTTGCAAAACTTTTGCCTTCTTCTAACTCTTTAGCTATTGTTCATTTTTACAATAGGAAGAAACACAGATACATTTTCAAATATCAGAAAAGGAAAGTCATGGAGTGACAATTAACTGTAATATTGGATATATGTATGTTGATCATCTTTCAAAGGTAAGAATAAATATCAAAAGTGATTTAATGATATAGACTGTACTCTTCATTGTTATCATATCTGTATACCAAGGAACTATGATGGATCTCCTCAAATGTATGTTCCCTTACCAGAGTATTAATAATTATGGTCTCCATCTGCATTTTCTAGTATCTCTAATAATTGGTAAAAAGATAAAAAATAGGTCAGATTAAAATGTTAAATTGCAACATTTCTTAGATATGAGAAAAGTAGTGTGACATATGGTAGCACTTTGGGATTTGTTTGCAGTTCAGTTCAGTAAAATGTTTGGAAACCATAAAAATGGAGCATGGCTAGTCATTAAACAGAGTTAGGGGTACATCTGTATAGACAGGATTCCTAAGATGCTTAGTATTTAAATTAGTTTAAGTCATAGGTCTGCTTGTTGAGAACTGTATTGATTGTTAATCTATATGCTGCTTTGATAAGTGAATAGTATAGACTTTGATAGTATAATTACAGCTAATTTATGAATACAATGCATAGTATAGATAGATAGAATACAGATTGATTAATGTAAGCTGAAAAAAAATCATTTTTTTCAGGTGGACATTAGCTTTGTGTTGGATTCAAGTTCACTCAGCAGAGCAGAAGATGACTTACACATCAGCATTAATGCAACTTGGTAAATATTGCTTACTATAGGTTGTTACTTTAGACCCATATTTGAAAGAACTGCAGAAAAAATACATTTCATAATTTGCAGAAATTTCATGGAAATCTAATGTGATGGGGGCACAATCTTCCTTTTGGGGGTTGGAAAAATAGGCTGTGGATGCAGTCCTCAAATGGGCAAAACTCTTGTACCAAAATTATAGAAAATGTGCTTGCTTGCATTTGATCATGCTATCTATTGCCAAATGTACTGTGTAACAAAGAAAATCAAACAGTACCCAGGCCTGTCACTAAACATTGTGATGTGTTGTAACATTTCTCTCCTTCTGTAGTGAAAACGAATTAGACCATGATCTGCTGTCCGATAACAGTGTAGTGTTAGCTTTGGCTCAGAAACATGAAGTTGAACTGAACATTCATGGGTAAGCATTTGGACACGTGTGTAGAGCTGTTGCAAAGCAACATTCAGACATTCACTGATTTCTCAGTGTTTTGAGCCTGTGGATGTTCTTGTGTGTTCTTTTAATTGCTCACCCTTAGCTTGTTTTTATGGAAAACAAGCTTCGCAAATGCTGTTTTAACAGGATAACTAGGTAAATTCAGTGTTTGGGCTTTCAACCTTATAGAGGCTTAATGTTGTCCGACAACATTAAAGATGGATAGCTGAGATTTATTTGAGTTATAAAAGCCCCAATTTCAGAAAAAGATATTAAAATACATAGTAGCTCTTGATCCTAACACAGCTTTTTAATAAATGAAAAAGTTTTGAAATCTGTATAATATGTATTAAACTTAATTGTAAGTATTTAATTACAATTAAATACATATATAAGAATATGGATTATAGTGTAAAACTCAAGGAATAGAAAGAGATGCCAGCATTATTTTTTAAAAAAAGTGGCATACACTTGGCAGAGTGCATGCACTTGCAATTTAAAAGGCGCCTGGCTTCTTCAGAGAAGGCTAGAAAATACTCTTGTTTCAAATGCTGCAGAATATATACAGTGTTGACAATGCCCATCTAGGTAGAGCAGTCTTAGGCCCAGTACTCTTCAATATCTTCATAAATGACTTAGATGAGGGAATAGAAGGGGATCTCATCAAATTTGCAGATAACACTAAGCTGGCAGAAATAGCCAACACCTCAGAAGACAAACTCAGGATCCAAAAAGATCTTGACAGACTTGAACAATGGGCCCTATCCAACAAAATGATTTTTAAGGTTTTGCACCTGGGCAGGAAAAACCAAAGGTACAAGTACAGATTAGGTGAAACCTGGCTCAAGAACAGTAACTCTGAGAGGGACCTTGGAATCCTAATGGACAATCACTTAAAAATGAGCCAGCAGCGTGCAGCAGCAGCCAAAAAAGCTATTACAATCCTTGGTTATATAAACAGAGGCATAGAATTAAAATCACATGAAGTATTAGCACCACTTTATAAAGTCTTAGTAAAGCCGTATCTGAATATTGCATCCAGTTTTGGTCACCACTTTACAAAAAAGATGTTGAGACTTTGGAAAAAGTGCAAAGAAGAGCAACTAAGAGGATTAAAGGCCTGGAGACTAAAACATAGGAAGAACAGTTGCAGGTTTTGAGTATGGAAAAAAAAGAACTAAGGGAGGGGACATGATAGCAATATTCCAGTATTTGAGAGGCTGCCACAAGGAGGAGGGGGTCAATTTATTCTCCAAAGCACCAGAAAGCAAGACAAGAAATGATGGAAACTAATCAAGGAGAGAAGCAACCTAGAATTAAGGAGAAACTTCCTAACAGTGAGGACAATTAACCAGTGGAACAGCTTGCCTTTAGAAGTTGTGGGTGCTTCATCACTCCAGGTTTTTAAGAAGAGACTGGACAGTCACTTGTCTGAAATGATGTAGGGACTCCTGCTTGAGCAAGGGGCTGGACTAGAAGACCCCCAAGGTCCCTTCCAGCTCTATTCTGATTCAGTCTTTCCAAAATAGGTGAGTTCTTTTTTGATACCCAGATGAAAGCTGGATACGTGACTGACTCTACAAGGACAGTCCTTCCCAGCAGATGAGGCCTCCATCTCATCTGCATCTCTGCCCTCTCAGAACTGCTCTGGAAGGTCACATTCAGATTTAGAGGCCATGTAGGAAAGCAGGAGGAAAATAGCAATAAAAACTCCAATTATGGGAGTTTAATTGGATGTAACTAAGTTTTTGACCTGTATGGTAAACGGTACTCAAAGAAGTTATGATTGATTCCACTTTAATCAATATTTTCTCTTTTATTGTTTGTAGGTCTGTGTCTCCAGCATCATTTATTTATGGACCCACCGAAGAAAAATTACCAGTTTCTTGCATGAAGGAGACAATCAACATCACTTTCTATGTATGAACATTATTCTCTATTTTTATTATTCATTGAATAATGAATTAAAGTAAATTAGATTTTTTTTAAAAAAAAATGTTTTCTCATGACTGAAGTGGATTTGAATCTTAAGTCTTCCCAGTCCAAGTCCAACATCTACAACAGACATGTCAAACTCGCGACGTCACGTGACGTCGCGCAATGTATCAGAGCTTTTTTGCCATTGCCGGCAATGGGATGGGCGCGGCTCCGGTATGATGAAACTGGCCCGTGGGCCGGCAATTTGACACCCCTGCTCTACAAAGTGGCTTTCTTAGCCACTGAAGCTCTGCCCACGCTGATCAATCTCTGAACCCTGTTCATTTAATTTTATCCATTATGTCACAGCTACTCTCTTTTTACAGTGAAGGAGGTCATCTCGGTTTTTGAATCATAAGTGCCATTATGAATTGCCGCATTTATTATAATGTAAATATCCCCTTTCAAAAATGAATGTTTAATTTTTGCTCTGTATATTCATTGGGGAATGGCAAATGAGAGCTATTTTTGTATCTTCTACCATAGGTTTAATTATTTAATTATTATGCTTTTCCTGTGGTCTTGCAATGTCCTTTAATGCCATTTTGTATACTTTTAAGTATGCTTTGGACACTGATCTGCAAATATTAAAATGTGCAGATGTTTTAGCTTGCAGTATAGTGGAGCATCAGGAACTGCGTGTTCAGAATTCAACATTTGGAAGTGAAATATTTTTAAAATTCCAATTGTTTTTTTAGGAGGAAGGTGATAGGGTGCAATAGTTCTGATATCAATTCAGATAAAATACTAATTCAGCTCTGGCCTTCTGTATACCAAAGGTCAGTAATCCTGGAGTGAGTCTGGCTCCCGATGTAAATCTGCTGATACAGATACCCAATTCTTTTCTACCAAGAGATGACAGACTGTTTAATATACTGGATGTCAAGGTATGCTTAATTTATTTTCTGGATTTGGAACATGAAATGTGACATAGCATAACAAACTGTCCAGTTGTTAGCTTTCTACATGGATCTGAAAGCTTTATGAACAATTGTGATACGCTATCTTTGATTGTGATACGCTATCTTTAAGAGGAAGACCAAACCAGCAATGCCATTGATGGAAAAAGGTGTAAAGCAGCATAGGGGAGAGTATGTTACAACAGATTAAGACAGGCAAAGGGGGGCTTAACAAACTTGGTTTATTGATGAGTTTCTGCTTTGACTTCTGAAAACATCACAAAATACTATGAAAATATAAGAATAGGTGAATAATTGAATTTCAAGCTAGAGGGGCAGCAACATCCACAAGGGATCACAATCTACAAGATATTGGGAGTGATGAAAGACCCACTCCTTTTGTACATGCCTCGAGATCACACAAATTTGCAAAAAGACAGGTCTGGTATCATGACCTTTTGACACACATCCCGCATAAACCAAGGCTTTTCAACCAGTGGTATGGGTACCACCTGTGGTACATTGGCACCTGGCACACGACCATCCTAGAAAAGTAGCGGGGGAGGGGAATGAGCTGAACCGGTGGCAGTACCGCACAAACTTGAGCGAGAGATGGCTGGAGTTGCAGGGCTATCAGGGCTCAGCGGAAGTGCCAGGATCAGCGCTTCTTCGGGGCTGTCAGGGCTCAATGGAAGCACTAGGATCAGTGCTAAGCTCCAGTGGAACTCGGCGCCGATCCTGGCACTTCTGCTGAGTCCAGAAGAACCCCCATCAGCTGGAATGTTGCAGCATCTCCAGGGTCTTGTGATTTACATTCAGATGCTTGGCAACTGATTCATATTTATGACGGTCATAGTGTCCCAGGGTCATGTGAAGTGACCAAAACCTGCAACCACCCAGCAGATGGGGGGAATAAAAACCAAACATCCCCCCACACCACCCCCACTGCCAATCCTCAACAGAAATGCTCACAACAATGAAAACCGCGGACAGGAGGAAGAGCGCCACTGGGTGGGCAGGCAGGTATCTTGCTCGGCTGTGGCTTGGGGGGCACTTTCTTCAGTGCCATTGTAACTTCAAACAGTCACTAAGCAAACTGTTGTAAGTAGAGGACTACCTATACTTCATCACTTTTTTCCTTTTTTTTTTTTTGGTCATCAAGTTTTTCGCACCTTGCTAGGCGACTGGTGGTACTCGCATATTGCTGCCTGCCTTAAATGTTTGTGGTTCCCTGATGTTGATTTACACCGTAATTGGCATCTTGCTTTTGAGCTGTACTATTCAAGATCAGTACATAATTTTAATATGAAAGTAATAAATAAGTTACTTCCGCGCAACTTCCATTGAAAGGGAAGGAAGGTTAGGTAGGGATGTTCAAAACGTTTCAAACATGAGTAAGCTCCAGATAGTTGTTTTGAGTTTAAAACAGCTGGTTTGCATTGTTTCAGTCACTTTGGAAGTATTCTGAGGTCAAGGCAACGGTTTCATACTCAAAATACTCTCAGCCCAAATGACACAGCTGTTCCAGCTCAGAGGAGTATATTTGGAATTTGAAGTTTTTCTCATGGCTCATATTAGGAGAAAAGAGTCAGTGATGCTGCATCACCAATAAAATGCAGAAGAGAGTGCAGTCAGTCATAGAATATTTGGGGTTCTTTTTCCCATATAAAATAATATTTTTTCCAACATGGACATGAAGACTTGTGATAGGTACTATGAGCCCTTATGAATGGTGTTTGTGATTACTGCATGCTGGTGCTTTTCTACTCTTAAGATGTGCCTTAGGAAATCTTAAAAAGGGCTACAATTGTCCTAGGTGTCACCTCAAGCTATGAAATGGACAGCAGATATATTTAATAATAAAAATATAAAATAAAATAGCTGTCCTGCTTATAACAACTATATCCCCTTTTCTTCACTGTCTCCTCATGCCCCAGAATCTTTAAAGACATGGATTAAAGTATGGGTCAAACTTAGATAGCATTAAAGTTTAGCTATAAGCTTGCTCTTCCATTATTATTTGAATTTGTTTCATTTTAATTAAGAAAGTTTTATTAAAATAGTAATTTTTACTGAGCTGATTTATGATGTCATATGCAATGTCTACAAATTTATTTGGTATCAAAATGTAAGACAATTATGGTTTTGCTCATTTGCAGACCACTGATGGACAATGTACCTATGAAAGTCATAGGAGAGACTGTATTTTACCAGAAGAACAGGGAAATATGGTGCAAGATCTTATTATATTCCTCACAAAACTTGACAATAGACCACTGGTAATTTCACTGGTTTTTTTTTTAACTGATTTGTTAAAGCTGTAATGTCCTCCTATTGCATATTTCTGCCTTATAAGCAGAGTTTTCAGAACCACGGAGCAGTTTGTTTATGCTTAAATAATTTAATTTATGCCTCATTTCAGTGTTAAGCTATCTGGGAACAAATTACATTGCACTTAAGGGCATTTATTTCTCAAAAGACATAGGCAGAATTGTGCTGTCAGGAACTCAACAGTTGGAAATAAACTTATAAAGACTTAAAGAATAGCACAGTAACATTTGCTGAGGCTTCAGTACTCTTAAAATTTGAAAGCTTAATGGCTCATATTCAAAACAGTTGACAGGTGATAACCAGTGCCTCCTTTTAAATGTCTTTCCATAAATTAGAAATATATTACTATCAAAGCCATCTAATGCTTTTACACGTGAGGCTTTTCCAAAAAGCCAGATTAACTTAACTTGCTTTCTTCCAGACAGGACTTGACACAAGATAGCTCAGAAAAACACAGGTTCTGCCTACACAAATAATACCATATCTGTCTCAGTGGTGCTGTCCTAAGAAACAATGTGCTGGGTTGGTAGATTTACCTACCCAAGGAAAACAATAATAACTACCTATTGCTCTAGGTCAGGGATCTTCAAACTTGGCCCTTTCGTGACTTGTGGACTTCAACTCCCAGAATTCCTCAGCCAGAATGCCTGGCTGAGGAATTCTGGGAATTGAAGTCCACAAGTCACGAAAGGGCCAAGTTTGAAGACCCCTGCTCTAGGTTATAATGCTGAATTTAGTAATTTGTCAGAGCCTGATCAGCGGAGAGGGAGAGCTCTGCTTTACTGGGAAGAAGCCTCTATCTCTTGCATCCATCGCAGTCACCCAATCACAGCTGTTAGGCACTGTGGATGGGAACATTTGCAGCAAAACCAAAGCAAAGCATCTATGAGGAAAAGTGTCAGGTAGCATGCAAAATGTGAAGTAGTGCCTTGCTAACCTACCCGTCAACGTCTTGGAGCTGGAGTTGTTGGAGTTCATGAGTTGATGTTGAATTCCTAGATTACTCATGTAACCTGTTAACACTCTGAAGCAGAAGCAATTGCTGCTTGTCTGTCCTTCTGATCCCAAATCCCTGTCTTTGGGTAGGTAGCTATAATGGTATGTAGGGATGACTGCGGGAGACAGGGCAATGAGACTGTACCAATGGAACAGTCATATAAAAGGCAGCTTATCCCACAGCAGGTATGTGTGGCGCAAAAGGCTTAGAAAAGACCCTCCCTAATTTGGGGGCTGTAAATGGGAGAGAAGCACTTTCAGACTAGCAAAACTATGTTAACATAACCTTTTAATAAAGTAGAATTAGGTCACCTGGTCATGGTTCCCTGTCTGGTATATGTCATAAGGCTGACAGTATTTGAGATAGCTTTGACTCCATCCACTCTGTCTATTGTACAGTTGCCTGTCAGCTATCACCCCACAGAGGACCAGGAGTATGTCTGCACTAGCTAAAAGCAAACAATAATTGCTGGGAAGATTGCACCATGTTGTATCTTCATCTCAACCACTGCCAAAGCATGACATACAAATGGCAAAACCTGTGTTGGAAACGCATGGCAAAAACCCTCTTGAATTTTAGGTTCAAAAGAAGGACCTGAGCTTCAGAAGAATCTGAATTGAACTGGTCTCAAATATGGGCTGGAGTTGACAGGAAAGTTGCATCATGTCTCCTTCAAAAACAGTTATTCAAAAACCCTCAAGCTGGATTTAAGGAGACATGTAAATGTGCTTATGTTAGCTATTGCCTATGAGCTAATGTGATTCACGGGATAAGAAATGAATCCCACATTCTTTTCTAATCTGAGCAAGCCTGGAGTCAAAATTTAATTATATATTCCAGTTGGTGTACAAACATGCATATGCTCCATTTTGCATATATGTGTGCTGCATTCATGTTACTCTGTGTAATACATCTTTATATTCTTTCTCTCCTAAAGTTTTGTATGAAGAATGATCCACTATGTTGGCAAATATTTTGCAAATTTGGAGACATGGAGAGTGGAAAGGAATCAACTGTTCATGTTCATCTTGAAGCAACACCTTCACTATTAAGCATAGTAAATATTTTAATCTTTGTGCTATCATACTGAAGGCTATGTAATCATATTCTTAAGTGTTGGAGAACCACAGACAAAATGTCATGTTTCAATACCAGATTAAGTAGTTGCTTAATATTTTTTCTCTGAATACCCTCAGTTGAAAAGCATTTAATTTTGAATAGGCTTAGTCCTATGTAGACTCCCATTTTACCTCCTTAGCCTCACTTATTATTTCATGTTGTTTTTATCTGAACCTTTACAGAGCAATTGATTTAAAATATTTTTTTGACTTCTTAACAATAGGATGAAGCTTCAGTGCTTACCTTTCAAATAAAAGGAGAAGTTTCAGCAAATCAAAATCCCAGAGTTATTGAACTCCACAAAAATAAGCAAACCACTTATGTAAGTATTATTTGAGAGTCAGACAGTAAAGGAGAGGAAACATTGGACAACTTAAGTATTAACCCAGATCTGCTTGGATTTATCAGACGGGATTTATCATTCGGCATTAGTGCTTGCATTATTTCAGCATCCAATGTCTATTCTGCTACATATAAAACAAGGGCTGTTGGGAAGAAGCACATGTTGTTTGCATCTATTTGCAAGAAAGCCATATTTGTAATGTCATAAATGCAGGATCTTTATTGCATGATTATTTAGTCAGAAATTGTACTGTAATCAGTGTTCAAGCATATCTCTGAAATCAGTGGCATTTTGACTTTTGTGAGATTTTTTTTATATATCTACCTTGAGGGCAAAAAAGTCACGGCTCAAATCCAAACTACTTCTGTGAGAAGCGAAACCAAGAGTATTCCAAAGCTGTGTTTCTACCTGGATAACTGTGTTGTTTTATTTTCTACAGGTCATTTTGGAGGGACGTCATAACCAAAAGACAAAACATAGTGTCAGTGTGCTGCTTATTTCAATAGGTTCCCTATTTGGAATTGCTTTGCTTTTGCTTCTTATATTAGTTTTATGGAAGGTATGTATTTCAGTTTTAATCTACACATTGGTGTATTTTTATGGGTTAGCTAGATACCCATCCGAAAGGAAAAAATATAGCTTTTCTAAACACTAAAAGAAATCAGAAATGTGCTCTAGAATACACAGCTTTTGCTGTGATCTTTATTTGGCATTTGGGAACAAATATGGTTTTTGTGCAGCTTGTTAACTTTAATGTGATTTGGGGAAATGATAGCATAAAATGGACAGAGAATTCCAATAGCCATTTGGACAGATGACAAGGGGAGGGAGAAATGAGGCTTTGGAATCATGGGGGAAAGTGGTTAGCAGTTATAAATCAAGAGATTTTAGGTTGCCTGACTTCCCAAATAAATAGCTTCTTGTTTCATTTTAAACATTTTGCAATTTGGGAAATGATATAGATTTAAGTGTTAGGGGGAGAATGCTTTTTATTTGGTTCATCCTTCTGCTGGATGAAATGTATCTGGTTTTTTTTAAATGTAAAAAATAAGTTTTTATTCGGGATGTTTAAACTTTGGTACCGTATATGCCGGCGTATAAGACGACTTCCGGAAGCGCTAAACTTGTCGCCAAAGACGAGGGTCGTCTTATACGCCGGGTCGCCTACTATGCCGGCATATATGGTATGTATTTTGAGTATATTAAACCACTGGGTAATGTTCTTTTTCTAAAATATAAATATGCATACATATTAGTGCTTTGAAATTGCAAACTTTATAACTATTTTTGGACCTCTGTATTCCAGGTGGGATTCTTCAAAAGAAAATACAAACATTTTCCTGAAGAAAAAAATGGAAGTGAAAGTTTGGAGTTTTTTAAACATATTAACAATGATACCTCAGAGTAGCAAGTTTGGTAGAAGTTAAGAATTCTCTGCTACAAGAACCATTAAATCTTAAGGTTCCATATCATATGTGAAAGGAATAGTCATCAAAATGGGCTTCCGAAAGCACAAATCATAGAAAACTCTGAAGGATAAAGATATTCAAGACTTCTAATCAAAAGGAAGGAAAAACTCAAAATGCAAGAACAAGGAAACACTAGGAATTGCTCCTTGGTTTTTAAAAAAGTACTTGAGAAGGAGCATTGTACTAATCATACTTGAATCGCGAATGTATAACCTCGCTTCCCAAGACATTCCAATGTACAGGAGGATGCTACATTAGCCAGTTTTAGTCTCCACACAATGTAGAGCCGTGTTCTCCCCTTCTAGTTCCTAAAATGAAACCAGTGACATCATTTTTTTAGATTTGCAAATTTAGTGGATGCTGACAATTTTTATTCTACTGTCTCCATCTTGCTCTGGAAATACTGGGAACCTCCAGGTAAGAACTATGCTTATATGTAGGACCTCTTCAATGAAAGAAGGGAGCCATTTTTTTTTATTTTTTTTTACGGAAGGGGAACAACATGCAATCTTGGATATCCCCTCCATTGTATCTGTTCAGACTTACCATGCAACTTACAAACCTGGAATATTGGCATTCTCTATCAGTAGGGACCCTGCTGATAGAGGGTCTTACTGGCAGAGAATGAGGGGTCAGTGGTGAGCAAGAAACTAACCTGGTTTGTGAGCTCTTCTTCTGTGTATTGAACTGAAAAACCAAATGACAGAATAGAGCTTTTGGATCAAGGTCTATATGAGATTTTTCTTGTGCGACTCTCAGCCATGTTTTGAGGGTTCTACCTGGCTGAGTTGGAGAAGTCCTCCCATTGTGTAAAATCAGGGAAATGGCAGTTACCACTCTTCCTCTTATGCAATCATTTTATTTATTTTTGTATTTTAAAGAAATAAAGAGAGACAATCTTTTCCTAATTTTTACATAAATGTATTTTTTGTACACCTTATACTGGTTAAGAATGTTTAGCATAAGACTTGAGATGGTGAAGTAGTGCACTTTAACCCCAAGGTGATGATTTGAACAAAACAGTCTATGACATCAGTTGTACCTCGAAAGCATTAAAGACTTAAAAGATTTAAAAGAACAATCTGTTCTATCACTGTATAACCCTACACTGTAAAAATGAATGATCACCAACATTGAACTAATAAAGTATTAAATAAAATGGAACATGAAGCTGTCAAATAGTTGTAGATATTTTTAAAGTGAATCTTTACAAACATCAAAATTATTAACAATTGGACTTTCCGTGTATAATTTACTTCTGAAGGCTGGCTTTTACAATGTTGTATCACTTACCTCTTTTGAAAGCCTAAGAAGACTTATTTAAAAATGAACACTTTTATTTAAAAATGAACAGTTTACTTCTGACAATCTCTCCTATACCCTCCATGTTAACAATGTAAATTTATCACTGTAATTTGCTTACTAATCTTTCATACAGAGGCTGGAGACCTCTATATTAGACATAAATGTTTGCATAGTATTTCCCACCTTAAAGTCCTACTGGGACTACTGAAATATGCTTGAGGAATTTCCTTGTGCTCCTCAAGGACATTGCAGTAGTCCCAGTAGGCACAAAATGCAGCTGGTACAAAATGCAGAAACACAGTTTGTAAATGTGTATTTGGCAGACGTAACACCGTTGCTTTGGGGACTGCAATGATTGCCAGTGTGCTTCCGTGTGCAATTCAAGATGCTAGTTGTCACTTTTAAAGCCCTTCATGAGATTTAACTGAAGGACTGACTTCTGCCATTGTTTCTGCCCAAACAATCTGATCATGCTCTGGGTTCTGTCACCCAAGGAATGTCACCATGAGATGTGCCTTTTCTGCCACCTGTCCTCCAGAACACACACTCCCTTGAGATTAGGATGGCCTCAACCCTGCTGACCTTCTGGAAGGCCTTGAAGACCTGGCAATGTGCATGGGCCTCAAGTCCCAAGTGTGTGAAGGAACCCATTTCCTGGTAATGTTGACACTGACAGATTATATCATCTCTTGGCTTCTATTTGTATTTCATTTCTTTTGGTATATATAGTTTTATTCACTGTTTGCCATGCAGAGACACTGGTTTGAGATGGGCAGCTATACAAATTGAATAAATAATTCAATTTTCAATTCAGAATAGAATTGGCAGGGACCTTGGAAGTCTTCTAGTCCAACCCCCTGCTCAAGCAGACCTATACCATGTCATACATGGGGCTGTCCAGTCTCTTCTTAAAAACCTCCAGTGATGAAACACCTAACAACTTCTGAAGGCAAGCCGTTCCACTGGTTAATTGTCCTCACTGTTAGGAAGTTTGTCCTTAATTCCAGATTCTCTCCTTGATTAGTTTCTATCCATTGTTTGTTTCTCTATAGTAGCCATAGCCAGCCTTTCTCATGTTTTTGTCTCCAGACCTTTAATCACCCTAGTTGCTCTCTGCACTTTTTCCAAAGGCTCAACATCTTTTTTTCTAATGTGGTGACCAAAACTGAATGCAATATTCCAAGTGTGGTCTTACTAAGGTTTTATAAAGTGGTACTTACTTCGTGTGACTTTGATTCTATGCCTGTTCATACAACCAAGGATTATAAACCAAACAGCTTTTTTGGCTGCTGCTGCACACTGTTGGCTCATATTTAAGTGATTGTCCACTAGGATTCCAAGGTCCCTCTTACGTTTACTGTTTTTGAGCCAGGATTTACCTAATATATACTTGTACCTTTCGTTTTTCCTGCCCAGGTGCAAAGCCTTGCTTTTCTCCACATTAAATTTCATTTTGTTGGATAGAGCCTATTGTTCAAGTCTGCTCAGACCCTTTTGGAAACTGAGCTTGTCTTTTGGGGTGTTGGCTATTCCTGCCAGTTTAGTGTCATCTGCAAATTTGATGAGTTCCCTTCTATTCCTTCATTTAAGTCATTTACGTTACATTATTTATGTTTATTTTAAATAATAAAATACTGGAACAGTGATAAACCTGTGAAAGTCTTCCGTGTGAATGGAACCATACATGAAACTCTTTTCTTGAAATTATTAAAGCAGGCAGGTCTTTCAGAAGCTGATTCCACCTTACTTTGCATTATGCAGAGACAACTGGGAGCAGCTGGATGAAAAAGAGGCAGCTGACTTAATCATTAAAAAGTACTACGTTGAATGCAGTCCCATTTATTACAGAACCCCTTTCAAAGGATCTGCACATCCCTGGCAATGTTAATAATTCTCTATGTATTAGAGAGCCAGTTTGGTGAGGTACCAGGGTAAAAACAAAGACTCCAGGTCCTAGTCCTGCCTTAGGCACAAAGCCAGCTGGGTGACCTTGGGCCAGTCATTTTCAGCCCTAGGAAGGAGGCAACGACAACCTTCTTCTGAAAAACCTTGCCAAGAAAACTGTCCAGAAAGTGTCCAATAACTGGACACAATTGAACGGAAGAAAAAAATTCTAGTCACATAGCAAGCAAGGAATAGACTTCGTAGCCCAGAGTAATGCACACAGAGTATGTGTGTTGATTGTTATTACAACTAAGAGAGTGAAAGAACTTGTAGTGAAAACATCCTACTATGTTTCCAGGATATGGTCATCTTCCAACTAGGTATACTTTTTACAAAATGAAACAATGCAAAGAATTTGGTGGTTTTGCTGGGTTTTATTTATGAATGAATTATATAAGGAACAAAGGCTTTATATAAGGCCACAATGTACAAATGCACCAATTTCTATTTCAAAAATCAGCCATGTTTAAATGTCTAGCTGATATGCCAACTTTTATTTTATTTACTCATATAAAATCATAATTCATAGCTAAGTATTTTAGTTGTTCTGCTTTAAAGAACAAATTGAAAAATATTCTGTTAGTATGCAGATATATTTCTATTTCAATTAAAAACTGGGTAATAATTTTATATATTAACTCACTCCAAATATCCTGTAAATTGTGAATTATTAGAAAGGAGTCCTTAAGATGTTCTAAAAAGGTCGCTGAATGCCCAGTGTAATGCATGGGTTCATTCATTATAATCAACTATTAGAAGACCTGAACCAGGTCCAGAACTCCTGATCAAGAGGCAAAGCTCAGTGATGGAAAACTGACTGTGTTCAAGTGAATTTTTATTTTGCCTTCAGTACAATGCTTTCCAAACTTTTCCCTTCATTACCTCAAGCTGCTTATCATAAAGGTGGTTGTTTTGTTTAACCCAATGTAGGTGAAACCCTTTTAGTTTATTTAAATGTCCCTGTTGTGATTGGGTAATGGGTACGTGGGTAATTTCCCAAAGAAAAATACTTTTATCCAATTTGGATAATTTAGTCTCTGGAGGAACTATATTACATTCTTGCAGATTCCTAAATTTCCATGAAATACAGTTTGAAAAACCCTGGTGTAGGGTGGGTGGGGCATTTTAAGTCAGATCATTCCTTGTATGGAGGAAAACATCCACTTGGGGGCAGTCAGCGAATTTTTTTCCCTCCTTCCATCACTTTGAGCCAGCTGTCTGAAAAATGAGTGTGCAATTTTAGGGATAAGCAACATCTAGTTCTGTCTAAAAACAATGCAGTTACGGCTATGAACCTAAAATAATTTTAACACTGAAAGAGCTGACTTCCCCAAAGTCTAAATTATTTCTCTAATGTAGGCAATCTCCCCTAATTATTTAATATTCCTGCAAATTTGTCAGAGCTACAGTTGGGTGATTTGCATACAAAACCCAAAATAGGAATCACAAAATATGTCTTGATCCAACCTGAAGGTGAAGGTAACAGCATTTGTCTCAATAAGAAAGTGGGTATTTTCCCATGACTCTGAATTGTGTTCTGAGTTGAATCTTGAGATACACTGCATACTTCTAACTTGAATCATCCAGACTTCCATAACTTTATGCAATTTTTGTCATATAAATATGATTGGGGTGGAAAGTAGGTAACTTTTTTCATAGATTATTTCTAAATACAACTGCAGGATTCTTTCAGATTATCCAAAATAACAACATTTCCTCCATACAGATTGATCAACTGGGGATGTACTCTGAAAATGCAAGAGAAACATAAAATAAATTATGATATTACTGCTTTATCTGAACATGTACTTTTTGTTCATATGTTTTTGAAAAAATACTGTTTAGGTAATAGAACAAAATAGAAGAAAAATAATTTCCTCTATAGTTCTCTTCATACAAATGGGAGGCCAATTTGGGGAAGTATTTGTGTGTAATTCATTCGTACAACAAATAAGTTGAGGAAAATGGAACTGATGGTGCCAAAGTATGGATGTATCGCTGAGTTGCAGAGAATTTGATAGTTATATTGTTTGTTTCTTTATTAACTTGTAACTCAAATTAGCTTCAGTCACATTGACAGGCTTTAAACAGAACGCATAAAGTCTAACTGGAGAATATATTTACCTTCAGATATATTTCCAACCAGCAAGGATATATACAAATACATAGCATTTGATTTTTAAAAACCTATCAATTGGGAAATAATACTGAGATATTTGTTACCCAACATTAAGCTCCAAACTGACATTTTCAATATGTGTATCTTAAAGTATTGGCATGCCAGTGTGTCTTCCCTAATCTAGTACACTTTGAAACTGGGTATACTGATAACAGACAATAAAATCCATAATGGTATAATTCAAGTCTATACATTACAGTTTGCATTTGGATGTATCTGCTTCTATGCAAATATGACATATAAATGTCAGGTAAAGACAGGCATGATTCTGTTTTCCCATTACAAGATGCTCTTTGCATCAAATGTTAAGATTTGGTTATGGTCCAAGAAGAGAAGGAGCCCATCATACAGCAGCAAACTACATTACTGCGAAACTTGAAAGAGACAAGTCACTTAAATACTCCAACTTTCTCATGATGCCTAGATCTGCTTAGGGAAAATATCCTTCTGCAAGAAATTAAAACCAAACACTGGTTCAATGTGAATTTTCTCATCCTGTGTAGTGTGGAAATATACCATACAAAACTTACGCTAAACTAAAAAGAACTACCAACAGTTGTAGTTCAAACATGACAAAATGTAATCATACCGGATATGAACTTCTGTTGCCCATTCCACTAAATCTCCATCTATATTCCAGGGATAAGTCTTTTCTTCAGAATCTATACAGTTTAGATTATCTGCAGAGATATGTTTCATTCCGGTTCTTGGACAGACTTTTACTTCTTCAACAATGTAAGTATCAATAAAAGGAAAGCTGAACTAAAATACAAAGCATAAATGCAACAGTTGAAAAATCTGGTATCTGCAAGGATTTGTCATGTGTCTGCTTCCATTACAGAGTGGAAAGCTAATGCTAGAAGACAATATATCTATGAGCATTTTAGCATTCTTATAGAAAATGGGAATGGGTTTTGGAGAATGGAATTTGCAAAACAAAGTTTCAATTTTTTAAAATTATTCTACATTTTGCTATGTGATTTTAATTTTTCTGCTGATTGCCACCCATTCTGTAAGATTGTTAAAATCAAGGAATAAAACTTAAATGGTAATCTCACTCAAAGGCATCTCAGGAAAACATGTATATGCTTAGTTCTGCCAAATCTACTTGGATGGTTGACCTTCCTTAAGTCATCTTTGGATACCAGGTTTATAAAATTGTGCCATTATAATGAACCATGCTGAATATCCATAAATTCTAATCTATATTTCCCAAATTGTAAAGCAGGAGTATCAAACTTGCAACGTCATGTGATCTGTTGCGACTTATTGCGACATTTTTCCATTGCCGGCAATGGGGTGGGTGCGGTTTCAGTATGACGCATCCGGCCCGTGGGCCGGCAATTTTGATACCCCTGCTGTAAAGAGTTTATCCTTGGTACTTATTACTTGGTTCATACAAGTACTATGATACATCCCATTGTGAAAATATGATCACAATAAAGAGACTCAGATTCTTCTCACCTCCCTCTGCAATCCAGATATATTGTCTTGAATAAATGCTGGATAAAAATGTTTGCTATCATATTTTGTATCACTTATCTGGAATATGTTTACATGGTTGTGGTAAACCATAATTTCTAAGAGTCTTTTGGTTCTTCCTAACACTAGCAGCAACTTCAAAAATATGGAAGCTCAGACTATTGTTTTCATCACAATATATCTATCTACATAAAGCAATCCAATAATCAGAAGCCAAGAACAAATCAAGGCTCCTGTTTTGGTTTGTTATGACAATGATAAGCTGAGGTAGTTTACTTGGTTCAGATATCAAAATAAAAAACCATGGAAGGAAATACAATGGTTTATCTAGTCACCTCCATTGTCAGGAAGAGCCATACGCTCTAGGACTTGACTAACTCTGGATGTGTGTGTGTGTAAGTGAAAATAAAAATAAAAAACTATCTACAAAATGTAACAAGCTTTCACTTGCCCTAAATATTGCACAGTCTATATTTAAATACAGCATTTGGGATTTTAAAAAACTCAATTTAGCAGATTTGTACTATAGTATCTCCTGTATATAAAAACCATTTATAATAAAACTGCAACAGATGGACAGAAATAGGCTAATCGGCTTTAGTCTGATGATTTTCAATATCAGAAAAAGGTAGGCTAATGTATTGTGACAGGAAGTTTAAGTCTCTTTACAAAAAACATTAACATCTTATATTGTGAATTTTCTTCCACCTTAAATCTTTGTCTGGTTTTATTATATTATGTTTTAAAACATGTGATTTTCCTCCTCATCCTCCTACTTCTTTCTCTGACTTTTGGTGAATGCGGCTGCTAAGAAAATTTAAGTCAAATAATGTCAGGTTGCAAACGCAAGAGTAACCCTTTACCTGGTTTTTCTCACTAGCATATCTTTTCAAATGTTTAACAAATTCTTGCCGGGAAGTATTCCTTACAGTTATAAGAGCTATGCTTCCATCATCCAATCTAGAAATGACACAGTTAAATTAAGCACGAGTTAAATAATGCAATTAACCATGAATTAATCAGAAGATGATACAGTATAATCAGGAATCTACCTTAATAACCTAAGTATTTCATCTCTTTTAAAAGTAAAATAATATTCAGTGGATGACATTGTCAACCTTAATTGTAAAAGTAACTGCATAGAATCTGCATATGACAATATTTGTAGACGTAGCTTTTCTCTGCACAATTGGCATACTGGAACAATAGCCAATGACTGATAGGATTTAAGATGTAATTAGAACTGTGCCTTGTTTTAGTTTATTTTAACTTTGTAGAGCCGGTAAGATTTTTTTCCCCCATTTGTTCAATTGTGTCCAATTCTCAGAGACTGCCTTGCAGTTTCTAGGCAAGATTTTTCAGAATTGGTTTAACATTGGCTCTTTCCTAGAGCTGAGAGGAGTGGATGGCCCAAATTCACCGAACTAGCTTTGTGCCCAAGATGGGACTAAAACTTGTAGTTGCCTTGTTTCTAGTCTGATGTCTTAACTACTACACCAAAGTAGTGCGATGTAAGAATAGTTGTTTTTATTGTTAAAAAGAAATATAGTATAATTTCACATTAGTTGTATTTTATTTCCCATTCATTTTTTAATTCTGAAAAAATATGAAAAATTATTTTACAAGAAAATAATTAAAAACCAGCCAAAACGTTTGATAAATTTTCAAAAACGTCCAGGTAGTTACAAATTACGAGTGACAGTATCTGTGTGTATACATAAACACATACACACACACATACATAAACACATCCCTAGAATTCAACATTTGAAATGTATTTTATAAATATTACACATGAATAATGCACATACCATCTGTCAAAAGTAAGAATCATAATGAAATGTGTGAAACTGATTTATTCAGAAGGAACTATAAGTGATGGGAAATTTTGATATTACACATTTTATCAAATTTTGAGATGTCTTAGATGTCACAAGTTGTCTGCCAGGACTGAATTGAACCCATTCTTTCAGATTTTGCAGCCAAAAAATGCCAGTGAGTGTACAGAATGCATGGAATATTTATTATAATTACCGTAGTAATATTATTTATATATTTTAATGAGGAAATCAAAAAATATGTGAGGTGTTGCGGATAACTATAAGTGTATATTTTCCCCAAACTGAGAGATGGTAGCATATAAATTTAATAAATAAATTAAATAAAAATATTTTATTACACAATTAATTAAAATAAATTTATTCCCTCACTTATTTTTACCATCTTTTTCTGTAACCTCAATTTTCTTTGCAGAGTTATCCTCATCCATAACATTCAAAAGCTGGTGCAGCTTTTAGCCTACCCAAAGTTATGCAACTCTAAATTAAGGTCTTACAACTCCAAAGTGGAAACATCAAAAGGCCTCTAATTTTATTTCATTTTTTGAAGGTTTTGATTAATTTTCATGATTTTGAGCCTTCTTTCCTTATCACTGTGGCATTTGAAATTGCTAAAAGTTATACTTAGGGAAGCAGAGAGGGACACAGATTCTCCCTGCCTGCTGATATTGGTGAATAATAGAATTAAGAAGAGGAATCTACTGGTAGCAGCTGAACTAAGTATGTTTGGCAAATGTCAAAGATTTCCCCAAAAATATCAAGGTTGAAATTAAATTCTGATCTTTCGTTGTCAGTTTGTTTTGCTTTTTCTTATGCATGCAGGTTTTCCCTTCAGCACTTATATTTAGCTTTCACAATAACTGAATTTAATCAGTGAAAACCAAAGGTCTAGATTTCCCCATTAACAAAGCCCAAAGGAGAATATTACTTGTGACTACCACTTAAGTCAGACTTCTAAGATAATTTAATCACCATAATTATCCAATGATTATTCTAGATGGATGACCGCATCTGTATGAGCAAAAACTGATTACAATTCCCAAAGATGCAGAGTCAACCAGTTTAATTTTTTCATCGTGCTCTCCCAACCCTGAGGTTCTAGATTGCGTGCAATTCTGAGGAAGCCAAGCTTTTACAAGAAGATGTTAAGGAATTGGTTTAATTCCACAAATTCTTACTGACCTGGTATTAGGTGCCAAACCTCTTGGTGCCACTGAACAGAGACAAGGGATTGCCATAATGCTCACATTCAGGAAGTGACCCTGGATTCTCTGCCACTCATCTGTGCTGTCTAAATATAACATACCGTATTAGCTTCAAGTAATCCTAATTATGTTCTATAAGTGATTAAACTTGCAGACTTACCTGGTTTAACTCTCCCTTTCTTCCTTCTAAAAATAATAATAAATTAAAAATCACTGAAGGATGACAAAATAAATAAATAACACACAACTTGCTTATCATGTGAAAATAAACATCTAACACTGAATAAAAGAAAACAAAAATGTATTTATGAAAGAAAAGCTTTAAATCCTGTATTAATCACATAATTTGAGTACACATTTCATTGTTGAAGTAAACATGATTATTTTTATTAATATTTTAAGACAAAATATACTAATGATAAATTACTTATAGCATAGCAAAATCTAAATGAAACATAACTCCTTAATATTGCCCTCAGGTATATTACATTAGCTCTTTTAAGAAAAAAACAATGCAGAATGCAATATAACAAACATTAGCAACCTTTAAATCACGGGTGTCAAACTTGCAACGTATCGTGATTTTTTTTCCATTGCCAGCAATGGGGTGGGCACAGTTTTGGTGTGATGCATCTGGCCCGCAGGCCGGCAGTTTGACACCCCTGCTTTAAATGATATGAACCCTTCATAGTTAAATTAACCACAATTAATATTATGGACAAAATGAAGTTTTGCATTCATCAACCTCTTGAGTAGTTTACTTACCTATCATTTTCTTGTGCATCTTGCTGTAAATGCTTCAATGGAAGGAATGATATTTCACAATCTTCTGGTCTATGGACAGAACAAGGCTTAGTTCCATATGAAAAAATATACAAAATATATGTCAAGGTCTGAATATTGAACAGTACTGTATATTAGAATTTATACTAGAATAACTGCAGGAACAGAAAGTATGAACCCTGTATGAATATAGTATTAGAAGACAGACTAAATCCTCAACAGAATGAATGGAAAATGAATGTAAGGCAAGAAGATCTTGAAGTTGCACGGAGTAAACTGAATTATGTCCTACTGAACAGAAATGTGAAAAAGAAGACTTGATAGAATAAAGAGATGAAAGAGGCTATGGATGAAAAATTAAGCAAATAAGAGAATAACTTTTAGAAGACAGTGGAAAAGAATGGAATCAAAGAGAGCAAGGAACAGTTAAAAAATTAAGAGACAGAAAAAATGTAGAACAATTTTTGATTATTTTGAATGGAAACATGTCAATGGGCTAAACAAGGAGCCCCAGGCAGAGTAAATGTAAAAAAAAAAAAAATATTAAATAGAATGAAAATAAAGTAAAGCAATGGCAAAGGAATATTTTACAGATTTGTACAGGAAGGAGAATGGGGTTGAAATAAATGCTACATTAGCACTCCAAAAAAACGACACAAAGGAAATAATACTGTCAGTACATTGAAAAATTATAAGGCATGAATGCTTTTCATACAACAAGAAAGAGAGCAAGAGTTTGCAAAAAAAAAAAAAAAAGTATGGGGGGATTGTTTGTTAAGGGTCCCTGAGAAAATATTTAGCAGAATTCTGATTGGAAAAGTATTAGGTGTGACCGTGAGCAAAATTTGGGAAGTGCAGTGTGCCTAAATGTTATAGATCAGGCCAGAGTTTTATGCTTTAGCAAATCATTGAAAATCATACTGTATGAATGTTAAAAAAGGAAGTTTGCAGCTTTGCTAATTTACAGAAAGTACATGGTAAACTGAATGTTCTTGAAATATACAATAGAATAGAAATAAATATACAATAGAAATAAATAAATCTGTGAGAACGAATGGAATGGTTAGTGAATGATTCAGCAATGAGCAGAAAGTAAGACAAGGATGCAAATTAATGTATTATTTAATGCATTTATGGATAAATGTACAACAAACGCCTGTGCGTTAATGTTAGAGATATGTTGATCGGGTATATAAAGGTATAAAGATCATAGTGAATTGTTGGCTGGGAACACAAATGATTTACAGGAAATATCAGAAGATTATATGATGCAATCAGGAGCGATGGATCTAAAAATGAATAAACTAAAACCAAATTTCTCTTGTAGCGAATAAATATTTGTTAAATGTGGCTAAAATGACTTTATATAAAAATGTGTCCTGCCCACTTTGTTGTACAGAAGTGAAAGAAAATAGCCCTGGCAGGACAAAACATTTTAAAAAAATCAGCTGAATGTGGTGCAAATGGGCATTTAAAAACTATATATGGTAAAATAAAAAAGTCATTAAATAGGAGTAGGCAATATCCTTTAAAAAAGGGGGGGGAAAGGAGAGTATTGAAGAAAAGGCAACCGTGGTCTGAATGTGGGGGAAGGAAAGGTGGGCTGCAGAGACAGAAAGGTATGGATGGTAGTGTAGACTACATTTAGTTAGAAATCCTTTTTCTTGTCTTAACTCCTGCCTTTTTTTTAGCTCACCACTTCTCACTCTGCATAACACCACTTACTGAAAGGGAAAGAGCGTGATGGCCATGGATGGGCAGACGGGTACAGAATTATTCCTTAACGTTACCATTAACCTACGTGACAGAGATCCTTGTAAACACAGAGGTAAAGAGCTGGTGAATAACAGAAACCCTCCAAGATATAGAGAACGTACTGATGTTTATTCTTTCCAGTCCCTTGAGCATTCAAGGGGTTGAAAACATAAAGTGATCCAGGAGTCCACACCAATAACTCACAGTAACAGTCAAAATAAAATAACTAACCAAGAAACTAAGTGGATCTGACAGCAGCAGTTTGAGGATTGTTCACCTGCTCTCACACCAGCAGTGCCATTATTTGAACAGCCTCCGGTCCCTTCTTTCCCTCTAAGTAAGGCTTTCCAGCATGAGGAACCAGCCCTCTTCCCTCTGCCTTGCGATGGATTGAGTCCCAGCCAGGAAGCACAGAAGGGTGGGGGAGTTTGTTTATAGAGGCCTGATCATCCAGCAGGTGCTTTCTCTGTAGGCTTCTCTTTGTCATCCTCTGGCATCTGCCATCTCCCTCAACCTTCTTCTTCTCCAACTCTCCTCCCCTCCCTGCTTTCTTCAGCCTTACGCTTAGCAGACACTGAATCTGCAGGCACTTGTGCTATGGCTTTCTCACAAGAAGTCTGCTGTTTTCACCACAACGTAAAACTGTTATTTTACTATTTTTGTAATTTGCTAAAACTAGAATCCATATAATCTAATTTGTACCACATAATTACTTATTCCTAGATTAATGCAACAGCGATTTCAAATTCATCTTACTTGAGGCTTGCTAGGGTCTTGATTACAGCAAAATCTTTACGCTGATTTGGTGGAATCCAACGGTGCTTTTCAGCCAAAGCTAGGGTCCTTGATCCAAAGCCAAACATAGAAGAGAATCCAAAGCGAAGTAGCTTGATAGGGCTACTGAAGGTGCATATATCCACTGACTTTAGATGTCCTAAAATTGTAGCATTAATATAAACGCACATATACATATGTATATGTACATTTTATAAGGGAACTCATTTCCTAATTCTGCTGTTCGTTAATAATATAGGGGCTGGAGGATCAAAATCCTAGAACATAATTTTGTACAAGATGCACAGTGCAGTCCTGTGTTTGTATAAATCAAGAGGAGTGTACCGCATGATCCTCCAAGGGACTACCACAGCACATATGGCACTTAAATGGGACACATACACTGTCAATGAAAACAGCACCCAATACAACTGTCACATTGCAATAAATTAAAAGCAGCTATATAAATAAAAATAAACAAAAGCAGGGGACAGAGCATCCAGAAAGCACGTTCCATCCCACAGAACATCTTAATCATAATTTTGACAAATCTTAGGTATAATTCTTTTTTATTCCATGTATAAAAAGCAAGGCCACTGAATATTTATTATTCTATTCCTTTTTAAAATTTCAGATACATACCCAATATTATATGCAATACTTACCCAATATTATATGAAAGGTTGCTGTTTGTGTGTGTTGGATTCCATTCAGAGTATATGCCAAAATATTGGTAGAACCTGTAAATGTTAAAGAGAAAACAACAAAAAAATTAAAGCAAAGTGAAACTTCTTTGTAGGAGAATATTTATGGATAAATTATCTAAATCAGCATGAAGAATTGTTAAAAAAAATTACAAACATAGAAAGATCCCCAAATTAGAGTAAAGAAAGATTAAAGAAAGATTTAATAAACTATGGCTTGCTTCTGTATCTAAACATGCATTTTTATCAATGGCACAGTTGTGAACTCAACAATCAGATTACGTTTATTGACCATATTTTTTCTCAGTCTTGAGCATTTAATTCAAGTGAGGATCTAACTATTTAAGGTATAACATTGAACTCATTCTTCATTTATATTTTGATTTTGCAGATGCCACTATTAAAAACTGTTATTCCATTTCTGCACTAACTGAACCAATGAAATGCTGATTTTTAAATAACTACTTGGTAGGATCTGTTTTTCTGTGCCAAGATTCTAGCCTTGGAATCTTCAAAACAAGCCAAGTTCTGATTGTTTTGGGTAGAGAACAAGAGTGAACTCCCATAGTTAAGTATAAAGAACCAAAAAAGTTTAATGACATTAAATATAATAATGATTTTGCAAATAAGAGTACTTAATAAAGTCAGGATAATTGTACTGAAGGAGTTCCAATTTGAGTTTTGAATTTAGTAAACTATGTTATTAAGACCCCAGAAATCATAATTTAAGCAATTTGGGCCTATTTATTGGTTTGACCTATTTCTCTATGTGAGCCAGCTATTGTTCATCAATTAAGTAAATACGGTAACACTTTACTGCGATGTATGAACAAAGTATTTGTACTTCTGATTCAAATCCTAACTAATAATTTCATATACTTTTCTTCTCTAAGCAAAGATTTAAGAATTATATGTTGCTAGATATCCCTTGCCCTAATGAGTTAACTTTTCAGAGATATTGCCTAACCTAACAGATCTTTGCCTAAAATGATCACAGGTGGGCAGAAAAGCAACGGGAACTGAGGAATATCCTTCTTCCTGCTAGTTTTCCCACTGAGTTTCCTTACGGAAAGCTGCAGGGAGCATTGGAAGTCTTCCCTCCCTCCTTCCTATTCCTGTTGGATTCCCCATTTATTTTGCTTGTGGGAAGCTTGTAGGAAGTCAATGGGGAAGCCAGAAGGAAGCTGCAAATCCAAAGCCAGCAGGCAGGTAAGTGGCTCTTGCCATGTAGGGGAGGGATTCAGGAGGTGCATGAGAGGTGCCACATGAGTCAAGACAGGTGTGTGAGGGTGTGCAAGAGGTGCCATAGGACAGGGTGCACAGGGCCAACACAGGTCAAGAAAGGGGGGAAGGTTGCAGGGATATGTGAGAGGGGCCATCCAGGTTAGGGGGGGTGCATAGTTGGGGAAGCATGCAGAGAGGTGGAGTGGACTGAGAAGGATGCTTGGGATCCCTTCCTCCCTCCCTCTTTTCCTATTCCTCTCCTTTCCTTCCAAACAGGCAGGTAGGTGGCTGCTGCTGATAGGGGGAGAAAGCGAGGGATGGTTGAAAAATTCAAAATGAGCATCACATGATTGCAGCAACAGCCCAGCAGCACAATGTCTCCAAATTTCATTCCCTTGGGAATCATGGATGCATTCTGTAAGTTAGCCCATTTGAACTCTCCCTATTAAAATTTAGAAGGTAGGTCATATAAAAAATCTCCCTCAAAATTTTAATTTTACAGTTGAACTCAGTTTTAGTCATTTAAGTTTTGCAAAAATATATGAAACAAACATCTTTCCCTTATGATACACCATTTCACTCAGTTCTTCCCTTATGATACACTATTTCACACAGTTAAAGGTTACAGAAACAAGAGTTTTAGTAGTACCGTACATCAGTTTTATTTGTCATTATAATTGCTATTCTGTTGATTAACTTTTATTTGGCACTGAAACAATATTAGTATATAATAAATATTGATCAAATCTTTACAGTGCAAGCTTTTATACTTACAATATCTGACACATAACTGAAAATAAAGGCTACTTACTCCTTGGGAGAATTAAAATTTTATTTCCCTAGTGATAGCTCTGAGTAGCAATATTAAGAACAACGTATTAATAGCTATCATAGAAATGTTTAATCTGTGGCATTTTTCTCACACCATGTTCCAAACATATATTCTAAGAAGTGATACAATCTACAATCTTTTCTGTTTAATGCTAATAATAACTTACTAACCAATTTTCATTCCCAAAAATACCAAACAGCAAGAGTAAAGACAAAACTATCTGTAGTTTATGTAAAGAGTGACTGATAAGGTACCAGACAGAAATTGTGAAGGGAAATGCCCTTGGAAGTATAAGCAATCCTGCAGAACAATTAACTTAATTAACCAGACATCATGAATATTCATAAGTCTGTTAATGTGTCCCACATCCAAATAGATAAATGTGATGTAATGACTTCCTAGTCATGCATATCTAAGAGTCTCATGAAAACTGCACCAACACTATGATGCTTTATGCATAATGGAAGCTAAATCTCATAACAATATTTTACTCTCCACAAATTAATTGGAAGCAGAAATACATTGCAAATGAGTGATTTAAAGCTTAAAGATTATATAGTCAATATATAAATTTCTTTTGTTTTATGGCAATTACATTCTTTTTCCCTTGCCTTTCTAATTTTGTTTACTCCTTATTCAAGAATATCTATTGAATTCCTCAGCTATCATTCATATTCATATTTTATGTGAATAAAAGCTAAGGAATTAAGTAGAGACAAACACTATTCTAAAAGGGCAGCAAGACAATTGTAGCCATCCTTCATCTGATCTCTTTTATTTTGTCTGTAGTATAAATGTATTTGATACAGATCTCAACTCATACGGACACGTTTGCCCAAGTAAGTAGGATGTATGTGAGGATATACATATGGGAAACAACAATTTAGCATACACTCCCTATTAAAATTTAGGAAATGGGTCATATAAACACCTTCCTCAAAATTCTGTTTTTACAGTTAAATTTATATTTAGTCATTTATGATTTCCAAAAATATATGAAATAAAGATTCTAATACCAACAATTTTCAATAGGAAAAAAAACTACTTTATAGTCTTTGGATTATAGGCTACTATAGTCTACCTTGACTAATTTTAAAACAAACTTAAAAATTAATAGATGTATTATGCTCAACAATTTTTTAAAATGTTACTTCCTTCTTATCTGACAAAAGTGTGAGAGCGCTTTTGTGTCACATATCTATAAGGACACAAAATTTCTCACTCACTCCTGATACACCTCTACGGTACTTAAAATACATTAAAAGACAGAGAGTAAAATGCTGGAAAAGTGCCATCTCATTCTGTTTAGATCAATTTTCTACCACTTACAATCAGGGTGTTTAATCAGTTACTTTCTTTCTTATAATTTACATAATTTCATGTTTCTCACCTACCAACTGAAAATACCTTTATTTGTCAATTGGAAATGCACAAAACAGAGAAAGACATGTATCATCCCCCAGGAGCACTGATTCTTTTTCTCCTTGTGTATCATATAAGGAAAAGGGAGAAAGAATGGCAATCTTCTCTTTGTGTTAAAATTTTACTTTTGAAATGATGAAGTAGCACATAGATAGAACATTGCCTCTAAATCATTATAGTTGATGAGTGATATGAATTATCTGACACCTATTAATAGATTAAGCTGTAGAGGGACCTTCTCCCAGAGTTGCACATGGATCTCTCCATGATTAACCAAGGTGGTTCAGGTGTGCTGTTTTTTCAGCATTGTTCATAAAATGAAACAGAGACCAGTATGTTTACTACACTGTACTTCTATAAATGGTTCTTACATTATGGGCAAGGACTGATTTTATAAGAACCATACTTAAATGTGTGAGAATGACAAAGAAAATAATTCCCATAGCTAAAGACTACTGAATTATCAAGCCAAGCCATGTATCATGGGTTCATCTGAAGCAAAACAATATGCATTTTTCAAAAATCATAATACTGTACCTACTTTCAAATCTAGTAGAGCTTTTTATTCATGCAATCGTCTTCATATGTACTCTTACCTGCTGGTATTATCCCAAGTGGAAGTTGTGATTTGACTGGTACAAGTGCATTGTCACAGTTCTTTCCAGCATCTATCTGGGCTCTAACCAAAAGACCATGAGCAATCTCATTGACAGTGCCATCTCCACCAACACAAACCACCCTACAAAATAATGAATTGTAAAATAATACACGTAAGACAATTTAGAGTCAAGCATTAGATATTACTACAAATTTATTATCTTTTCCAGATAGCTTATTAGCCAAGTTTAATTTTTATCTCTACAAACTAAATAACTTCCACCTTGACTTTTTTTTATTAGTGAAGTCTAGTAAGAATGGTCACCCGATATACATTTTTTTAAGAAAAAAAATCACCCAATTTCCTCCTTTGCAATCTTTTTTTCCAATTTTCCCTACCAACAATCTGCATTGCATCCTAATAATGAATTATATAAAATACCGCCATTCTCTTAATTAAAAAGCCATCCCATTTGTAACAGTAATTAATTTTTCAAAAACTCATTAAATATTTGTAAAAAGACATGAATTCTCTCAGATGAAATGTCTTAGACCACATGTGTCAAACTCAATTGTGTCATGTGACGTATTGTGAGGTATCACATTTTTTGCCTTTGTGGAGCTGGGGCAGGTGTGGCCTGCGCAAGACGCATAGGAGGCAGCAAGTGCGTGAGGGCTGGCAATGCCCAGCATCAGCTGCAGCTCATTGGCCCCTCAGCCACTCAATGGCCAGCAGCATATGGCCAGCTGGATGTGAACTCTGGATAGCCAATAAGCCATGCTCAGCCCTGTCCCACCTGCACTGCACCAGTGCACCTTAGGATCCCGCAACCAGACCACCCCGCCCCGCCACCTGCCTCACCTTGCCTCACCTGTGCAGCAGCAGCACTGGCAGCAGCAGTAGCCCTGCCGCCCTTCCGCTCTCTTCCAGCCTGGGAAGCTTGCGAGCTCAGAGAGGAAGCCACTATCACCACCCATTGGGTGAAGCAGCTACCTGAAAGCGGCATTGTGAGCCTCACCCCTCCACTGCCCTCCTGTACCCACCAAGAGCAACCTGCCTAAGAAGAGTGAGCACAGCAGCAGCAGCCTTGAGGAGGTAAGCATGGCCAAGCACCCCCTTGGGGAAGTGGGACTGGGCTGGCTGCATCTACCCAGCCACGCCTACCTAGTCATGGCAACCTGGCCACACCAGCCAGCCACACCCATCTGGCCTTTTGAGGGCAACCATAATGCCGATGTGGCTGGTAATGAAATTGAGTTTGACACCCCTGCACTATTCTAAATTGTTCTATGGTAGTATAATTTTGTGTGAACTACACAGTCTGTGTAATTTGGATAGGATATAAACAAAGAAACAAATGCACACATTTCACAAATTGTAAAAAAAAAGACTGGTGTTCAGTTGCCTTTTCCCCAAATTAACAGCATTCTTACAATAATAAGAAGAAAAAAAATAAAAATTCTTACCCATGGAAAGAATTTAAGTCACATTCCTTGAGCAGTGTAAGAGCATGACCTTCATATTCAGTAACTAGGTATGTAAAAAGAAAGACCCCATTATAATTCATTGTAAGAATAAACAATTAATGCCCATTTCAGCAGTATTGAACTTCTTAAAGGTAGACAATTCTTAGAGGATCCAATCTGGATCGCTCACCGGGACCAAAGGTTTCTTCTTCTGAGCTTTCAGACTCATGCTGGAGCCCATCCTCTGGGGAACTTCTCTGTGTGCTCTGGGATATTCTACGTGTGATGTTTACATGGTTGCTGTGTAGCTTTTTAGATTGGGGTGTTGATTGCTCACTATTAAACACCCCAATCTACATCTAAAAAGCTACGCACAACAGCTACCGTATAAATACCACACACGGAACAGCCCAGAGCACACAGAGAAGTTCCCTGAGGATGGGCTGTAGCATGAGTCTGAAAGCTGGGAAGACGAAACCTCTGCTCCCGGTGACTGACCCAGATTGGATCCTGCAACATTATCCCGGGATATGTATATTCACCCTCAATTCTTAGAATCACTGTCCAGAGACTTGTTGGGCACTCAGTGAATTCCCCCTTCCACCACCCCTTAGGAAAAAAGTCTCCAAGCTCCAATCAAGTTTTCCTAACTTTGAAATACTGTTTGCTTCTGCATGCCCACAGACGTGAACAAACCATCATCAGATGCTCTGCTGGAGGTAGTGCTACATGCCAAGGAAGGACAAGTGTTCTGCAAAAGAATAGCCTTTTGAGCATTATGCCTCCAGTTACAACATATCCTCAGCAATATCTGCCTGGTGGTTTCTTTCTTATATAAGGCCAGGGCTTTTTTCTCATAGAACGCCCAGAATGGAGTTCCAGCATCTTTTTTGGATGGAACCTTGTAAGGTAGGCAAGACATGTGTGAGTTCCAGCACCTTTTTTTTTTTTTTTTTTTTAGAAAAAAAGCACTGCATAAGGCATTTGTAAGGATGGGATATTGTAATCATTTTGGAGTATTTTAAAGTTTAAAATATTACCAAAACAATCAAAATCCCCTATTTCAAATGCAAGCAGCTGTTTTGAATTTGAAACAATGGTTTCATGTGCAAAATGGGTCATTCAAAACATTTCGCACACCATTATTGATAGGTTGATTCACAGCACATTGGCAAGAGTTTCTAAAACTTAATGAATTAACTAATCAGGTACAGTATGATTTCTTCCAACTACAAAATGGTTTCTTTTATTAGAACTTTGCTGGTGAAATGTTGAAAATTTGAACTGACAAACTTTCTGAGATTTTGTATGATAGAGTAATGAGCTCAACTTAACTCTTGTAATATATTAGAAAACATATTTCCAGATTAAAAGAATCCTGAGACACTATAAGCTTCCATGGTAAGTACAACTTTTTGCATCTGCCTCTTGTTTGTGGACTTTTTTGTTCTTTTATAACAAGAGAAAACAGATTTTATTTCTAATAGAAATAGTTCTACTACATATAATCCCTTTATCTTAGTTATTATTATATAAAAGATAAATCTTGGCCTCAATTTGAACAAATAAACGGAAATGGAAAAAGTAAAGAAGAAAGCTGGGAACCTAGTAACAAAATAATATAACATAAGAAGCTGATGGATCCCATAGACATCAGAATTTGTGGCCTCAAAGGAAATGAATCTTTAAATGTATATTGCTGATGTTGGTTGCTATTATATGCAGTACAATAAACACCACCAAATAAAGAATTAAGTGACATAATGCAGATGTTATAACCACATGTACAATTTTCTAGGCCATGGTTGCCAGAAGAGGCAGCCCAGCTGTAGCCACGCGTCAAAAGTTTCTGGTGACTGATAAGACAATTCCAGATGGATTTTTTGTGTAACAATGTACATTACTATATCCAAGACTGCATTAATATTTCATGCTTAGCTGTCTTTGGTGTAGTGTGTTCCATCATTTCCAGTGCTTTTGTAGATGTTTAAATGAAGCATCATTGTAAAATTCCAACATCAATATGCTTTAATATTTTTACTTGTTATAGTTTAATAAATGTAATAAATTAATATGATTTATTTTTACAGCTCACCTAATTCATTATAGTAAATAAAATGTTTTAAGGATGAGTAAACAAATTACTGTATCAAATAATATCATTTAAAATTAGCACTGCATGTGTCACACCATATCCAAACCTTAAAGGCCAGAGCAATACTGTGCAAAGCCAGAAGCAGCACTTTAACACAATCATTCTCTGTACATACTTCAAAGCTGAGCAGATGAGTTGATAGAACGTTCAAATAACAATACAGGGATTTTATGTATCACTGGGATACATAAACATTGGGAAGATATATTTATAGCTCAGCCATAACTTTCCAATTACCTGTATGTGTGCACCTTCAAATAAGTGTTGATTCCTGGCAATTGCCTTGACTAGTCCCTGTAGTGTTCTTGACAAGATTTTTGCCATAGCTTGTTTCCTGGAGCCGAGAGAGAGGAATTGGCCCATCACCCACCCATTCTAGCCTAGTGCCTTAACTATCACATCAAACTGGCTTAGTTGCCTAGAGAACAGAACTTAATGGATACAACAGATTGAATGATACATTCCAATCTATTGACTACTGAATAATTAATATAACCAAGTCATACATCCTTTTCTCTTGCTGAATCAAAGAGAACAAATAGAAAGCAATACAAAGCAAAGAGCTGACTGCAATGAGATAGATTATGCTGGAACATGATGCTTTGCTGCACTTTAAAATACAAGCCCATTTTGGTAATGTAATAAGATGATATGAAGTATTTGCTCTTGTTTTCAACTGCTTTGTTATTGCATATGAAGCAGGAAATATTGTTAATTTTAATTATGATTCATCCTAGAGGAAACTCCAGGAAGTAAAAGTAATCAAATCTGCCAAAGCTAAACTGCCTGGACTACAAAGCTTCAGAATTGAGTTATTTCTATGGTTGCATGCTTTACAAGGTTTTAAACCACAAACATTTATTATCTAGTTAACTTAACCCTAAAGCTACAAAAAATTAATTATAGTCTAGTTAACTTATTTTTATTGTATCATGAACTCAAATATGTGAAAAACAATTATTTTAAATTGATATGTTTAAATAGTTCATTGTTTATTATTTGGAAGAATATATTCCTGTGTGACTGTCAATGTAAGATTATCAAATTATACTGTTGCAAAAATAACTACTTCAATAAACCTGACATCCTTGTAATTTGTTGAATTCTCCTGTAGGAGGAGTACAAGCAGTACAAGCTGTACAAGCAGTACTCTTTGAATTATTATTACATATCACAGAATTTTAATATGTGGCGTATGTTTAATGTGAACATCTCAATTTAAAAAGTTTAATTCACTTCTACTTTAAACCTAGTAATAATTTGCCAAAATAGATTAAACCAGCTGTAACATGAGGCGTACCATTTTTGAACCAAGGTACCTCAAAGGGGCTAACTTACAGAATATGTCCCAAACCCAGGATCCAGGACTTCCAAGGGAATGAAATTGGGGAAAGTTGAGGCTGCTTCAGTAGTGCCAGCTTGCTGCTGCTTCAATGCTGCTGGGCTGCTGCTATAGTCATGTGATCATTTTCAACATTCCATGACAATTTCCCAGTTCCTCACACAATCCCTCACTTCCTCCCCCATCCAACTACAGCCACTTACAGTACCTGCCTGATGGGAAGGGAAGGAAGAAAGGAATCCCTATAAACCCCATTCCCAAACTATGCCATCCACTTAACTGCCCCTGGAGGGAGGGAGGGAGGGAGATTTCTGATGCCCCCTGCCAGCTTCCTACATGGTAACTCAATAGGGAAGCTGGCAGGAAGTCAGAAGTTGCTCTCACTCCCTCTGTTTTGCCCACCCGTGGTCACTCTGTTTCTCTATTTAGGTAAGGAAATATCTCTGATGACCCAAAGGAATATGAGTCTAACATTCAATAAATATTTAATACTTTTAAATAATCAGGGAAAGCCAACATTATATTTCCAAAATTAAAATATTTAAAAAGAAAAAATAGGCAAAGGGACTTTCATAGAACATCAGTCCCATCTCTGATAAAGAATGTGCTCTGTTCAATAGGGATTGTGCAAATGGGTCTCTGGATTGCCAGGCTGCTAATATCATCTCCTCTCCTAAAATAAGCCCTAGAAAATTCAGTAGGACATACGTTGCCACAGCCTATCCACTGAAACACAAATATCTCCGGTATTAGTGACTCATGCAATGTACTAATGGATTAAACCGAAGTCTCTAAAGCATCTTACCAGTAACGTCAGTCATGATGTCAGCCAGTTTAAAGAGGGGAGCAACTTGCTCATAATAAATCCGAGTAGCTTCTTTTTTATGGCTTGTTGGATTGATAAATACTTTTAATGACTTTGGCCGATCTGGAAACCCTAAAAACAAATGTCACAGCACCTTTGATAACAGAAAGTACGGTTTCAATGGTAACAGGCAGATATTTATGCATTTTTGGCACCCTGCAGCTTTCAGAGTTCTTCATAACCATGGCAGGGGTGAGGGGAGGGAGCTAGCATGCTCATTACTTATATCCAACTCCAGTATAATCCTGATACAACTAGAGCATTGACCCACTTGTGTGTTTATAGCTAACAATACCTACTCTAAGTGAGTCAGTCACCATCAAGAGCAGTATGCAGCAGCTACAATAAAAAAAGATTTTAGGTCATAGTTCAAACCTGAAAAGAGGGAGAGTGATAAAGTGAGAAGAGAATTGTCTCCTGGGAGAATAAGAGGAAGTGCCTCTCAGCAAGGATTTGATAATAGTACTCCTTCACAGTTGGTGCAGAGATTTGATACTACAAATTTCAGGATTTGCAGATTATGTATCATACCACACAGAAGGAGCAGGTGCAAAAGAAACCTGCCCCTGATTAAAAGATTTTTAAAAAGGGCACAAGGTGAAATGATATGGAAAATCAAAGCGATTTCATTCACATTTGAAATAAAATTTAGAGGTTATTTTCCTATTTTGTTTTTTTAAACAAATTATTAATTATCTTTATCTCAAAACTAATTTCATTCATCACAGATTCTATTCATATTTATTTCTGGTGGGATTTCACAAAAGCAAATGTGTATTTGTTCTGCAGTACAAGAGTTAACTTTCCGATTTAGCCATCCATACCCAGGAAAAAGATTGAATTTTTATTTTTTAAAAGCACCCTTCTTCAATTTGGATGGATGTGTTGAGAACAGATCCTAACCTGAGAACCCTATCATAGCCTAAAGAATTTAAGAAATTCTAGCTCAATCAGTAATATATTTATCAGAGTAGTACAGATAGTCCTCAACTTACCACAATTAAGCCCAAAATTTCCATTGCTAAGCGAGGCAATTGTTAAATGAGTTGCGCCCCATTTTATGACTTTTGCCACAGTTGTTAAACAAATCACTGCAGTTGATAAGGGAATCATGTGGTTGTTAAACAAACCTGGCCTCCCCCCCCCCCCCCATTGATTTTGCTTGACAGAAGTTGGCTGGAAAGGATAGAAATGGTAATTACATGACTCCAGGACATTGCAACTGTCACAAATACATGCCAGGTGCCAAGCAACCCAGTTTTGATCACATAACCATGGGGATGCTGCAACGGCCATTAAGTGTTAAAATCTGTCAAAAGTCACATTTTCAGTGCCATTGTAACTTCAAACAGTCACTAAATGAATGGTTGTACGTCAAGAACTACCTGTAAGCTTCTTTGATTATTTTGTCTACACACTGTTAACAGGTTATTCTTGGTCCTCTCATTTTTGAAAAGATGGTTTGGCTGATGGTGCACCAAGGTTTATTCTCTAAAGAGAAGCCAGCAGACGAGGTTCAAGAACATGAGTTCTGGTGCTATGGGCTATAATTTCACACTGATTCACAAAGAAAGACTATTTCTTAATGTTAAATGGATTTTCCCTGTTTATTTCACAGAAAATAATTGATTCTATAGGAGAAACCTGTGCCTCTTTTCTCACATACATTAAGTTTGCATTACCAATCTTCTGCATGTATTCATAATTGTCAAGTGTGAATTGATTTTATTCTTGAATGGTTATTTAGATTTTCTTATATAAAAGAGTCCAAATCACTGTTTAATTTATTGGTCCTCCTTTTCTCAAACATTCAGCTAGGTCAGTTATTTTTTCTTCTCCTACCCTAAAATCCAGATGGCCCTACATCCTTAAGGCCTATACATCTCTGGGAAAAGCAGGCAGTATTTCTCAATTTACTGATAGCTCTCAGAATAATTTGTGCTTAGTAAGCAAAGATCACTTATTTCCAATTATCTCACAGCTTCAGTAACATTCTTTCCATATATAAGGACCCTAAAATAGAACTCAGAAATGAAGAAAACCTCAAGATAATCAGGAACATACCTGTTTTTGAAGAACTGGGAATTCTACTTTATTTTGGGATTTTTTTTCAGAATATTTTTTTGAAATAAGGATGAATTTTAAGTCTACATTATTTGACTACATTAGCTCCAACTGAAGAATCTGTTATTTGTTCCAATTAAACAAAAAAAAAATCCAAAGAGAGTTTGCAAGACTAAAATTGCTCATTTCAGATAAGCATTAATCAGGCAGACAAACTTGATTAAGCCTCTTCCACTATTATGAAAAATGTGGAGCGTTCCACTTTATTCCTTTATCTGCCTTACATAAAGAATGACCTGCACCAGGCAGGTTGTTTTATCTCTTGAAGTTGTCATACAGTTAAAGACCTAGAAAAAGCAAAGTTTACAATACAGTATATTGAAGAGCTTTCAATAAAGAAATAGAAGAGGCCCTCTGCAACAAACAATTACTCTCATTTATGGAGAGTGATACAATGTGTGAGGCTCTCATGCTCATCTCTGCATCTCTAAATGTGGGAAGATTGTCTCTTTCTTCATAACAAATGAAGTGGATGGTAAATAACTTTTAAAAATGCATCTGAGGCAGTACCAAGATTTTGGATTAAGGAAATGAGCAGGAAAGGACTGAGTGGATTCAAATCAAATGAACATCAGGAACCCTATAGTTTTGGGAGCTGAGTTCCTAACACAATCAATGTATGGAGACAGGAAAGAGGGCTGCCCGTCTCGTTTCTTGTGTAAGCTCCTTCAGTCATTGGATTTAATAACCTAAACAGAGGGCAAGGGAGGGAGTGCCAGGGCAGGATTTTGCAGAAACAAAGCTTATCCTTAGTCTGATGAATCCTAATAACTCAACTTGATACCATTGGACTTTAAATTAGCAAAAACCTTATCAAAGTATTAATAATACTCTGAACATTTCCTAATTTATTTGATTTATACAGCTGCCCATCTCAGAAGTGACACTGGGTGGTATACCTCATAAAATCATCTAGCATATTTTCTTCTTCCCCAATGAGTTTATTCTGCCAACTTTTAATCAACAACTTAATATGCTTAAATATTAAGTGTTAAAGTGTTTCAGCCCTCACTGCAAACATACAGAAGCTAGTGTACAGTTTTGACAGCATCAGAACCTACATTTAATTTATTATAGCTTTCTTCCCTAAACTGAACCAGTGCTTTTATAGAGAATAGCCAACTGTTCCTCTGCTGGTAACAAATGTGCTAATATGCACTAGTTTAAACTTGATCTATCAGTGAATGAATCAGTGAACCATGAAAAGTAGGGGTTAATCAGGGTGTTCTGAAAACAAAGGCTCCTAGGGCAGCAGGGACGCTACCCTCAGACACACATCTGTGCTGCTTTCAGTATTTAGTTTTATGGCAGCAGGTTTATGTTTACCAAAGTTAGGAGCCTGAAATGATGTCATTGTCATATATATTATTAATCTGTTATACCACTAGCAATAAGAAAATTGCTACATAGAGACAGTAATAATGACATGAATAAACATTTTTCATCCTAACTAGAGATAAAACATAGTTGATGTTATAACTGTTAATGTATAACATTAATGGGATAATTAAGTCTTCATGCATGAAGCTTTAGACACCCGTATTAAAGCTTGGTGTGAGAGGCATCTTGTAAAAGAGATTCAATAACCATTCCACTTTTATTCTGAAAAGACTGATATATATTGCAAACATGTCTTGTTTTAGAAATCAGATTTTGAAAGATAAGACAAATCACATAGTTTCATGTTAGAAAACCTTATCACAGATAACAATGAAAGCATTGAAACGACCCTATTCTGTTTTTAATGTTTTAGAGGAGCATTTCATAAAACAAGCAACATTATCTTTCATAATATTTTTAGAACTGTATCTCAGGGAACTGCAAAGCCTAGTTTCGATTTAAAAATTTTGAAAATTGTTAATGGGACACACCAACGTGCACTACAGCATAATCTATGAACATTAAAGCATAATAAAGTTCAACATGATCATCTTTGATATATTAAAACCTGTCATCTTAAAATAAACCTGGGACATATGCAAAACCAACATGATGAATATTTAAGGTATGATACAATCTTAGCTTTTTTGTAAGAAAGTGGTTGTGAGGTATAAGTTAGTACATATAAGAATAAGTTAGTACAAGTAAGAATCTTTAATATCAGAATTTTTTAATTTTTAATATTAATTTTAATTACAATACTTTCATTTTTATCTTTATGTTTTTAGCATGAAACCAACATTTATTACTATCTGATTACATGCAGATACAGTAACATCTATTTTTACAATGCCATTAGACATGGACTTAATAAGAACATTATAAATAATCAAATTAATTCTCAGTCTTTTGATACAAAATGAGATACTGAAGGTCAGGTAATATAAAGTATCTATTTATATAACTATGTATGATTCTATTTCAGTACTTGAAATACTGAAAACTGAAGCAAGGAAATTAGCATAAAAGAGGAAATCAATAAATGAGAACACAATCCTGTGTATTAAAGCTGGATTAATAAAGTTCAGCCAAAGTACTACAATCACAAAATGCTATCAGGAAATGGCAGGAGTGATCAAGGATGCTGAAGAGCCTTTTGGTACAGTTCCCAGTCATGCAATTCCCTCCCTGAGGACTATAAACCTAATCACTTAAAAAAGGAGGCAAAAAGATTTTAATTCTCTCTGACTTTTAAAAGTACGGTACATAATTTGCAACACAATGTTAAACTTTGCTTAATATTATCTTAATTTTGTTCCTAAATTTGCTTTTGGTCTTTGGACCAAAAGATAGCATAAATATATTGCTTATTATAATTTTTCTAGGATACTGAGTTACTGTTATCAAATATTTATGGCATTACAGATCTTGATTTATAGGAGTAGTGGGAAACATTTGATAAAGACAGTCCTCCACAAAGTCATCCCTAATTCCTTCACTTCTCAAATACAGATACAAAGAAACTGTTATGTCTATGATGAAATAGATCCCAGAAACGAACAAAAATAACCCTGATGATATTCTGGAAGACCCTGAAAATCTTGGGGTGGAGATGATGATGATAACAATAATAACAATAACAATAATATATTATTATTATTATTATTATTATTATTATTATTATTATTATTATTATTATTATTATTATTATTATTATTATTATTATTATTATATGGCAGTGCCTGGAGACAGCAGAATAGACGAGAAAGAACTGGAGAAGATAACAAAATACAAAGACCTACAAACAGAAATAGAAAGACTGTAGCAAAAGCAAGCAAGGGTAGTACTAATAGTCATAGGTGCCTTGGGTGCAATCCCAAAACAATTGGAGCACCACTTGAACACCATTGGCATTGACAAATTCGCTATTAGTCAATTGCAAAAGGCGGCCTTACTAGGAACTGCTTCCATCCTGCGACGATACCTGTAGTACCATCAAACATCCACATCTGCCTATCCCAGGTCCTGGGTAAGGACTCGATAAGTAGACAAAATGCCAAATCCAATCTGAACATATGGCTGACTGTGCGATGATCAATAATAATAATAGTAATAATAGTAATAATAATAATAATAAAAAGTTGGAAGAGACCTTGGAGGTCATCTAGTCCAACCCCTGCTCAGGCAGGAAACCCTATACCATTTCGGACAAATGGATGTCCAGTCTCTTCTTAAAATCCTCCAGTGTTGGAGCATTCACCACTTCTGGAGGCAGGTTGTTCCACTGGTTAATTGTTCTCACTGTCAGGAAGTTTCTCTTTAGTTCTAGGTTGCTTCTCTCCTTGGTTAGTTTCCATCCATTGCTTCTTGTCCTGCCTTCAGGCACTTTGGAAAATAGCTTGATACCCTCTTCTTTGTGGCAGCCGCTGAGATATTGGAACACAGCTATCATGTCCCCCCTCGTCCTTCTCTTCATTAAACTAGACATTCCCAATTCCAGCAGCCATTCCTTATATGCTTTAGCCTCCAGTCCCCTAATTATCTTTGTTGCTCTTCTCTGTACTCTAGTTTCTAGAGTCTCAGCATCTTTTTTACATCGTGGTGACCAAAACTGGATGCAGTATTCCAAGTGTGGCCTTACCAAGGCATTGTAAAGTGGTATTCACGTGATCTTGATTCTATCCCTCTTTTAATGCAGCCTAGCACTTTGTTGGCCTTTTTGGCAGCTGCAGCACACTGCTGGCTCATATTTAAGTGATTGGATACTGGCTCATATTTAGGTGCTGGCTCATATTTAGGTGATGGAACTTCCTTATTGATGTTGTCATGTTTTGCATATTTACTGGTGTGTTATCTGGGTTTTTGGATCTTGTAGTTATCTTTTTTAATAATTATTTTTCTTGTATTAATATTTATTGTGTTTTTGTCATGCTATTTTTTCTTTGAGCTGCGTGGAATCACTTGGAATTAGGAGGCATCAAAATCGGATGGAAGGATAAATAAAAAATAAGTCAACATTGCACAAACTCAGTTATAACAGCACACTAGTTATTGTAAGGATGGCTTCATAGTAGCAATTAATTCATGGGAAACATGGTTTAGAAAATGTTGTCCAAGTCAGACACAATCTCCCTTATCATTTAAACATAAATAAGAAATTCAATTTTTCAAAACAGAAAGGTTTGCAATCAGCTTAACTATTTTTAAAACGGTTTAAAAGATTAATTCTAAAACAACAGCATTAAACAAATGCAAAAATAATTAGAATAAATTTTAAAAGCTGCAAAAGCACAGCACCTGAATAGAATTCACTAAAAACCCACCTAGTGGCATCAAAAACAACAGAATTATATCTAATCATATCTCCTGGGTTGGCAGGCCTTTTTTGTGAACATCCATTAAATGATAAGCCATTACCTATAGGTAAACCATGAGTACTAATTTCAGAGCAAGCTTAGATAGTTTGAGACAAAGGGACTGTATGCAAAGATAAAAGATTTTTGCATATACTGAGCTAATACGATATGGCATGATAATATGAACAGAGTTCATTATCATTAAACTACAATTTATCATTATTGCTAAACTCTAACATAACACTATGGGAATAGGTGGTGAGCAGCAATCTCTCATCCTACCAGTATTGCTGTAAGGAGATTGGAAGCCTTTTCACTATAGTTGTTCATTCTATTTAATCGGATAAAAAATTAATCCTGGATGCAGTTTGAAGGTCCCTTTCCTAAGCAAATTGTTTCTGCCTATAAGACTGGGACAGAAATTATAGAAGAGTACTCCTAACTGATGGTGCTGCCTATTGGTTACACAAAAGGAGAGACATACAACAAGAACACATTTATTCAGCCACATGCCTTCTCCTCCCAAGCACCAATCAATCTGAAGCAGGAGTAGAGCTATATTAAATGTATAGGGGAAAATGAGGATCTAATTGTATTTGTGGGGTCAGAAATACAGATAGGTAGATAAAAGCACATTAAATCTTGAGAAAACCTAAATCCCATCAGGTGTGAACACATCCACTGCCACAACTAATATCGGTGCAAATGACATTTAATGGAGTAAAAAGGTTGGTCACCCCTGGGTTAGGAAAACAAGCCAGGAATATAATGCATGACCTAAAGATGATATAACTTTACAGGATTCAGAAATAACAAGTAATTGCAGATAATGAAATAGAAGGAAAGGTTTCTGATCTCCTGCTGAACACTGGGACAGAGAAAAGAGCTGAGCTTCATGCACACAAATTAGAGTTTAGTATTACCTATGAACCAAATACATAAAATAAAATCCATGTAATTTCACCATGTGAAAAAGTACATCAATGCAAATAATAACAGTAATAATAAAAATCATAATAATCATATCAACATGAATCAAATCAGTTATAGGAGATATAGTGTATGGCTAAGAGAATTATTGAAATCTTAATTATCCTTACCTGGATATAAACTCTTCTAAAGTCAGTAGACCGTATTGTTTGATAAAAGAGTTACACTACTGCTATATCTTTTATCACAAAACCTTTTGAAAATATGAAAATAAGTACTTACCATTCAAAATTTTCTTCAAAGACCTAAACCACAAGTAACAATGGTCTTCACTTATGTTACCTAGATTGATCGTGGTATCTTTAAGTTTATTGCCTTCTTTGTTTAGACATGCAAAAATAGTAATTCCTAAGAGTATGCCTCCTTTTTCTTGCCCAGCAAAACGACGACGTTTCAGTTTTATGGAAAATACTTCTTTCATTTCAACAGATTTTTCCTTTTGCTGTAAACCAATCCTGGAACCTCCTGAAGAAAATGAAAAAAATACAGTTTAATTTTGTGCAGTTATCAGTATGTAAGTGCCAGTGTGTATGTAAATGGATTAGATTGCTCACTAGAAACATTAGGTGGCTATATATTCTCACTGATGACACAAGCATGAATTTACAAGAAGTAGTTATGGCACTCAATTATACTGGATTCTCAGTTATGCAGGCATGGTTGACCCAAAGATGCTTTTTCCAAAAAGTAGCTGGACTTTCTTGTTTTTTTCCTTTGAAAACATTTTGCTTCTCATCCAAGCTTCTTCAGTTTTGAAGTTTCAGTTCAGAAAAAATTCAAGGAAGTCCATTTGCCTTTTGGAAAAAGAACCTTTGGGACAGTTACTGACAGATAACTGATGATCTCCATCAGGTCATGAAGAACTAGAAGTAACTGTGAACAATATAAACCTCATCAATTCAGGAATGGGCATCTGGGACACCTCAAACTGATTCTGGTTCAAAGGATTTACTTCTTAATAAAGAGGGTTCAGACTAATTCAGAAGAGGAACAAAATTTTCCAAAGTTTTCCTGAACATTTGGTTCGCAAATCATTAAGTTTTGCATATCTCCAAGTTTCTCACAAATGCTAAATAAACAGTATCTATAGAAACACATTCCTAAGTAATCTGATTTTCACACAACTTTTTAGCTATTAAGACTGATTATAGCCAAAGGTCTACAGCGAACAAAACCATGATAGGAAGAGTTCTTTAAAAAATCTCCTTACTACATGAAGTTCATAGACACATTACATTGAATGTCTCTTGCATTGTTTTGCATTGCTGCCACATCCCAAAAAACTGGTGATCTTGTTTGTCAGCCCTTTAAAAAAGTAGAATGCTGACCATGGTTAGTGTATTACAAATATTTTTTGAAGTTCCAATGTAACTGGTCTTATGGAGATTACCACCTGGAATTGGCCGTTCTGCAACGTTTCTGTACACAAGAAAATGTTGGAGTGTTAGCCCCAATTTCAAATGGCTACACAATGTTATTTTAAACAGTTATAAACAATTTTAATGAGAAAGAAATTGCAAAATGTAGAACTTCACCTGAAAGAATGGAATTTTACCATCAATTTCTCAGTTAAAAAATGAAAATTTTTAATTTTTTAATTAAAACTGGTGTATAAATTTATACGGCAAACTTTTCTTTTTCATTTAAGAATTATCCATTCATTAGTACAATAGTGATTATTGCTAGCTGTTTCAAAACATTAACTCTCATCTCATATTACCTAGAAGGATACAGGGTGCCATCTGTTCTTAGAGGGGATTTAAGTATACATTAGATATCATGCTATTTATTTGATTCAGCTCCCACTTCCCACTGTATTTTTGAAATCAATTTAATTACAAGGAACAAAGATAGTCTTTCCTGCTATTGTTGTTTCGTCACCATAAGAGCAGGCCACAAACCTTCATAAAGTAAGGTTACACTTGTTAGATTTTCTTCTCTTTTTAATCACACTTAACATTAAGAAAGGCCTCAGAAAAATCAGTACATAGCTCTTTAAAATATTACTGTAAGCCAAGAGCACGTCTACATCAATTTTGGCACATCTGCCTGATGTAGAGCATAAACAGGATTAGAGGTGGATTTATCTGCTTGACACTAATTGTACTCACAGTTTCTGCACATGTCCACTTCTTCAAATACAATACAAAAATATGATATTAATTTCTATCAGCATGTGATAAGCACTTTAGTTAAGCATATCACATTCATATCATAAGTAACTGAACCTTCTCAAATATTTCAAATTTTTAATTTTATTTAATAACAAAATTTATTTGACAACTCATATATTATTACTCTAAGATTTAAAAGAGGAAGATATTTTTTTATTCTTATTATTTTGCTTTTTAAACTTGGGATGCAAATATCTATCAGAAGGAAGGAAACTGATCAGAAAACAACCATTTTAGGTACATATCATTTCAACCAAATTACTACCTTCAAGAATCATTTATACAGAAAGACAAATTTTCTTTCTTTCTTAATACAGTATATCCTGGATCTGTGGATGGAGAACCAACACGGCACAGAGACATCTTTTTGATTCTAAAAAGACTACACAATGTGGCAAACCTTTACAAATATCACCTCTGCCAACAAAAGAGTCAATAAAGCTACATGAACACTTTAAAAAATATTAAGCGGGGTTGTACAGTAGTCTACACTTTTTGAGACATGTGGAGGTGGGGATAGGAACAAATATAATTTTGAACATACATTCTTCAAGAACTATATGTTCTTATAAAAGTGAACAAACTTAAATAGAATACATAATTCAATGCAGTTTGTTGGCATTGTACTGTTTTTACTAGACTGTGTAAACAAATGGGCATTCAATTTGGCAATCCATTGAAATCAGTGTGTTCCACTGGGCTTCATATTTGGATACATGAGAAGATTTCAACCACCTACAGAAACCTACAAATCATAGTTACTGAGAACTGGATTTTCTCTCTTACTTTGGATGATTAGAGAAATTTAGATTAGTAACTCCTATTATTATAGATAAACATTAATTATGGAATTAATTTTGTATTATTTTACACTTTATACTCTGTAAAGATTTAAATAGACTTTGACCTTTTGGAATATCTGAAACCTGTAAATTCATGTTGTTGTTGTTAGTTGAGAAGTCATGTCCTAACCATCGCGACCCAATGGACAACATTCCTCCAGGTCTTCCTGTCCTCTACCATCTTCTGGAGTCTAAGTTCACACCTACTGCTTCAGTGACTCCATCCAGCCATCTCATTCTCTGTCGTCCCCTTCTTCTATTGCCCTCAATCTTTCCCAGCATCAGACTCTTCTCCAGTGAGTCCTTTCTTCTCATTAGGTGGCCAAAGTATTTGAGTTTCAACTTCAGGATCTGGCTTTCTAAAAAGCAGGGTTGATCTCTAGGACTGACCGGTTTGAACGCCTTGCAGTGCAAGTGACATGTACAAATCAAATGCATGTCAAACACTTTATACAGAAATCTGATAACCATACCCACCTGAAGCATCTAAAACTACTCTCTGGCATTCGTAACAAGGAATTGAAGTACTCATACCATTCAGAATCCCAAATGTCCTGTGTACAAAAGAATGAATGTTTCTTCTCAAATTATCTTCTATATATAAAGAATATAGAAACAACTATTACTAGTGGAATTAGTGCAAAATCTAATGATCAATGTTTCAAACTATTCAAACTATGTAGCATTAAAAGTAAACTAAGCAAAGATACTGATTCGCTAATTATGCCCATTGCTTGGTATCTCCTAACTGCATGACAGAATTGGTAAAAGAAAGCTAATGCCACAATTCTTAATCTAGAATGTAAGCTACTTTAGAACATTTAGATAATGCAGTATGAATACACACACACATGCAATTAAAGATACATACATTTGGGTTTGTGTTAGAGGTAAGATGCAGGAGAATTTATTTTTTATGCAAGACTTTTATCTTTCTTAAGTCATGCACAATTTATGAAGTTAATTTTTAAAAACTATATACTGTACAGCACTGCACGTCTCATAGCACAAAATAATGTGTGTTACTATTAGTCAGGGAACAAAAAAAATCTTTCAGTTTAAATTTTGTGTTCTTTTCCCTACAGTGTTTCCATATTATGTCTCACTACAAGGTACTTGCAATATTACAGAAAGATTCATTAAGAATAAAATTAAGTATTGTATATTTTTGGATCAGAAATACAATCTTTAAAACTGAAAATCTGTTAATAGATATGTAAAATGTTGCATAAATGAATGTGCACTAATAATAAAAAATTTAAACTCAATATTTAGTTACATTCACCTATGAGTTTGAAAAAGAACAGTGACTACATGTCAGCTACATATAAAGTTACTCTGGTATGTAAATTTCATTTTCATTGTGCAGCTTTCATCCAAGGTTACTGTGATAGAAATTAACACTTCTTCTATTAAGTCTTTGGTCTTATTCATATTATTTGATGTACACTGAACATTCAAAATTCTATAGATAGTCCTCGTTTTCCAACTGCCTCATTCAGCCGTTTGTATATATGAAGGTAGTTAAAAAGTGACTTTATGATCAATCCTTGCATTTACAACCTTCATGGGTCTATAAAGCAAAGGAAAGCTGAAGTAAAATCATACAGCACATTCGTGATTTCACTTAATGACTGCTTCGCTTAACAATCAAGTTGTTGGTTTCTAAACAAGGGTTATCTCTATTTGGTAAAGCAAGGCAAAACAAATATTTCATGTCTTGCCCAAAAGCCATCCAAGTCTTGGCACAACCTTGGCAGGTAGAAAATCCAGCAGTTAGAAAGCCCGGCCAACTGTTCCAAATACCAAGGTATGTTTCCTTCAAAGGGGAAGCTCAGACATATTTCTATTCTATTGTCACTGATGTGACAAAAGCAGCTTGGATTAATAAATACAGCACATTGTGAGATCATGAAGTAAAACAGCTGAGAATCCTCAACAATCAGCCTAGTCATATTTATAACTATAGACCAGCTTACTCAGCGCCTTCATTTTTTATCATCTCACAGCTTCCTATTAAGCAGGACTTCCTTCTCCTTTCAGTTATTAACCTTTAACAAGGACATGGCTTTATTTTGCTTATTAACAGCCATTCTCCATCTCTGTATGAACATTAGGCTCAAGCCCATAATCATTAGCACAGAAATATCAAAAAACTAGAAAAAAAGAAAATATAATCCACCTTTCTTTTCCAGTATTTCTTTTCATATTTTACATATTGTTTCCCAAAACTATCATCGTAACCGAAATACATCAGTGAATAAATAACAAATATGTATTCTTGGGATCCGTAATTATGTTATTTCATCATCAATTATTTCACTGAAAAAAAATCACTGTTTCCATGATACACGTTGCTAGATAGAACATAACATCTGTTATTTCAGAGATTAAAAGGTCTGCAAAATAATCTAAGCATACTTTCCTTTACACCACAGATGCTATCACCACTTAGTGAATATAGCAAACTAATTTCAACTTTACTCTTTAAAAAAAACCTGCATTATCAATTTTTGCATTTAATTTTTTTTTAAAAAATATGCTGTATAATTACATACGTGGTAAGCATGGCAGTAATTTTTTAAATCAGTTTTCCCCCTTTTTTAAAAAAATAGCCAATAAGCAAGTTTACATATAATACTGCATTAAAGAGTACATAATAGCATGAATTACATTTTGAAAGTCATCAGGGCTCAGAAATAATAACTTTTATTTATTATATTTATTTGCCACCCATCTTGCAGTTCAAAGCAACTAGAAATCATGCTTGCATACTGCATAATTATGCTAATTATCATAGTATGTTTTTATAAGTTTAGATTTCCTCAAAATCTTCAACCTTGGATATCAAATGCTAGTTATTATATAAAAACTATCATGGCCTCAGTACTAATAGTACATTTGAACACACTGAAATATCACATAAATACAGAATTTTTGTAGCATTATAGCCTGATCCAATTATTATTGGTATCTCCTATTTTTTAAAATTTATAATTTTATAATTAGGTCTTCCCTCCTCCAGTGGATAGACAATGGCTAGAATGAATGAATTTACAAATAGGTGAAATACTTTTATTATAGTTTGGGGAATTTTTTGATTGTTAATAGATTGGAAAAGTTATTTTAAAAATAGAGAAAGTATAATATTCTCTTTTCCTCAAAGCTGCATACATTCAAAAAAATATTTTAAAATATTTCAGACTACTTCTCTTTGTTCATTAAAGTAGCCCAACATCAGATTTCTATGCAAGTTTGAAAAAAAATTGATACCGCTTTAATGAGTCACCTTTTTAAAGCATCTGCATCTATTTCAGACTTAGACAGATTCCATTCAAACTCTGGGCTATTTTAATGAATAACCGGAAGATATTATACTCATGGAAGGTCTGAAGAGCTTTTTCCTATTTTTTTCTGATGTGTACACAATCCTAATTTCCGAAGCTTTGAATATTTCCATTTAAAAACCTGAATGATTAAATATTCAATATACAAATGTTACTTTTCCTTAGGATTAGTAAAATTTATGTAATTCAAAACATTTTTATTAAGGGCAATTCCAAAACTAAGATTTCATTTGGAGAGCATTTTCCCCCTTTCCTTGTGGCTTCTGCATTTTCAGGAGATATGCTCCCAGAACTCCTTGAAATGGGATGGTATATGGCACAGGGAGTTGGCAATGGGGGAACTAACAGTGGAAAGACAGGCTTTTAAGATTCTGTGAACCCATCCATCCCCCCAAAAGTTCAATAAAATCAACTTCCCTACTTTGTTCTCACTACATCTTATATCAATGTCATTTTTTCTCCATCCCCAAAAAAAACCCTGATTCAATTTTCCCCCCCAAAACCAGAAATTAGCAACCCTATATTGACACTAAATTACAATAGTAAGTTATTATTAAAAATATATAATTGATGATTTGAAAAGAGGGTTCCCTCTTTTTTGTCAGATGGTCCAGTTCATACATTTGATGCAGTTGTAATTGTGAAATGTCTAGTGAAGTCTAACCCTAGATAAATTTAGAGAATAAAATTGGGATTCTGTAATCTAGTTTATACAAACAGAGTATTTTTAAGCAATGCATTATTTTTTTTAAAGGAAAAGAAATGCTTTCACTTTACAAAAGAAATAAGTTATCAGTAGGAATGATTAATTGCACTTAAAAACATGTGATTTGTCTTTTACAGGTCATCTTCAATCAGTTTATAATATTAATCTTTCATAAACACAAAAGATCTGCGATTCTTACCATTCTTTAATATTTTTAAAACACATACAGTATATGCTATAGTTGGTGTTTTCTTTCTCCCAGCTGCCAGCTTTTGTATAAGCAGTTTAGGAAATCAACTTTTAGACAGAAAATAGGTTCTATATATAGTTTATTCTTCTTTGACTTCCAGTAGTTCAATCTGATCTATGTATTTCAGCTTCATAATTTGAATGAGAATATAAATACCTGGTTTTCAGCCTCCTGAGGATCAACAACGCTGCTTGGAAAAACGCAAATATGAAATTAAATTTAACCATGTAATTTTAATTTTAAATGGTAAACCAAAATATTTAAGTATCCATGGCTGTTTTATAAGTAATTTAAATAGTTCACAGAATTCAGTGATACTGATAGCTGATTAGGGACAAGTACATTCATTCCTGCTCCCCCATACCACACCACCCCAAAAAAACTCATAGGAGAAGCATATAATACTAAACACTTTGCAGATTTTTAGCTATAATTAACCAAAAGGTCAAATACTGAAAGGAAGCAGCAGATACCACCACAAAAGTAACAGATGTTCTTTGAGTTCATCTGGACAAAACATAAACATATGTGAAAGAAATCTGATACTATCATAAAATCAGCTGGTGTCTAACATAATACCAGACCCTTATGGTAGAGGGGTAATGTATGTATCAAAGACACCGGCAATGTAACACATTTGTTTCAACAGAATATTCTCATAAGAACATAAAAATAACTCAAAAGACTACCAGAGTTTGTTCAGGAAAAGCTAATACATAAAAAGTACAGCATATTTTAAATTATGTAAGCTACATTTCACAGAATTCACATGTTTTCAGTAAATACTATACTGATTAAAGTTGTGATATGAATAAAAATAGAACATAAATTGATTTGCCTAAGAGCTGTTATGTTGAACAAGTCAACAGGCAAAGATAATTGTCATTTTACTATAGTTTCTTACATCACAATATTTTGGATAGGACACTACC